CCGCAAATGCAGCAGCTTCGGAGACACCGAGAAATACATCATCCACAGAGGCGCCGACTGCTACCGCAAATGCTGCCGAGTTTGAAGATGTAATTGCTGGCCTGTCAGGGATGGTTTTGGACTGTTTGCTCGACCCAGGGATGCTGAGGATAATGAAGGTAATGCAACGGACTTATCCCCGTTGGTTGGCCGCCAACGAGAGCAGCACTAGCGTGAATGACCTGGCGAGATACAAGAAGCAGTACGACGTTGTGAATTCTATCTGCGACCTCGTGGGCGATGGTCCTATTGATCGTCAGGACGAGACGAAAACCAGTCAGTTGGTTTCTCTCACCCACGAGTTTGCCTCGTTGGGTCCCCTGCCACCAGACCTTGAGAAGTTGGACGCGGAGGAGGAGCAGTGCGAATGAATTTTTCTTCGATGTCTCTTCCTCGCTGTTTGATTTCAACCACTGGGTGCTATGCCCTGCACGTGTACCCAGAGGGCAGCGTGGTGGTGGAATGTGGAGGGTGACAAGAGGACAAGATGGAGACAAATTTATTGGGCGGAATCAAAGAATGAAGAGGCGTGAGGGTGGCGGGAACGCGACGTCGCATTGAACACACGGATGTGAACGAAGGGAAAAGAAAAGCAAAAGAAGCAAAGAAGGACTAAAACCAGCGGCAAAGAAAAGAGGGGTGACTGCGTTCTTATCACTACCGCACCCTCCTATGACTCATGCATCCCTCCAGCCACTACCCCAATTTTTTCGTGTTTTTGGATGTGAAAAAAAACAGCCATAAAGAAAAAAGAAAAAAAGAAACCGTTTTTAATCTTCATGAAATACCCTCAATTTAGTGGGAGAGGGGAATTAAATTCAAAGTAACTCATCTTTGTTTGTTTGTTTGTTTGTTTTTTTTTTTTTTGCTGATCTCCTTTGTCCTGGCCTACACGCTGAGGACTCTCTTAATTCAGCCTTTTTCTTTTGCGGTTTTGTGTTGGATTCTTGCCCGGTTTATAATAGAGGGACACCAGAGGGTGGTATAGGTCTGGTCTCATTGATATCCACTGAAGCCTACACTCAGTTGGTACATACAATACAATACATAAGAGGCCGGAGCAAAAGGTGGCAGCGAGGCTCGGGGGAATTTATTACACCGAGGGTGGAAATCGAGAAAAGAGGTTTGAACAACGGCGCAGAAATGACAAACGAGGGAAGGAATTCCACTGGGCACGCAGCGAAATCCAGTACCTTGCCGTGGGTTGAAAAGTACCGTCCTGTCACACTTGACGAAGTTGTGGCGCATGAGGACATTCTTTCCACAACAAGGCGGCTTATGGACAGCGGCAATTTGCCGCATCTTCTATTCTACGGCCCACCCGGCACGGGAAAGACGACGACCATTAAGGCGTGCGCTTACTATCTCTTTGGGAAAGACCGCATCCGAGCGAATGTTCTTGAAATGAATGCCTCAGATGATCGTGGTATTGATGTTGTCCGACAACAAGTGCGTGAGTTTGCCAGCACGAGTTCTTTCTACTTTGCCTCTGCCCCCGCTGCGCCCACCATCGCTGCATTCAAGCTGGTTATTCTCGATGAGGCGGACCAGATGTCCGGTGACGCGCAGGCCGCGTTACGACGCATCATTGAAAAATATACCAAAAACGTTCGCTTTTGTATTTTGTGCAATCACATCAACAAGATTATTCCCGCCTTGCAGTCGCGTTGTACTCGTTTTCGGTTTGCACCTGTCAAGAAGAGCGCGATGTTATCACGATTAAAGTTTGTGGCACAGGAAGAGGGTGTGCGTTTTACGGACGAGGGACTTGTAGCAGCGTTTCGTCTTAGCAATGGTGACCTGCGTCGGTGTCTTAACACGTTGCAAGCTTCTGCCATGTCGGCAGGTGAAATCACAGAGGAGTCTGTGTACCGTGTCACTGGTAACCCCACCCCAGCCGATGTACGCGGGATTGTGGAGGACATGATTGCACATGATTTTGCTGCTTCGTGGGAGAAGGTGCACCAAACTGTCTCCGAAAAGGGTGTCTCTTCAACCGACTTGGTACGTGAAGTGCATCACATTGTGATGGCTATGGATTTGCCGCAGGAGAGCAAGTGTTTCTTGCTTATGAAGTTAGCAGACGTAGAGTATTATGCTGCCGGTGGTGCGAAGGAAACGACATGCATAAGTGGTATTTTGGGTGCCTTTCAGTTGGTGAAGGAAGCGTTAACGCAGAAGAGACACGTTTTTGCGCTTGCCAACTTCTGAGGTGGGGTTAGAGGGCGTGGCCTGGAGAGAATGGCTCCATTGTTGATTGTAACGTACCGAGGCAGATGATAATAAAAACATAGAAGTAAAATAAATATTTTTTTTTCTCTCTCTTTTTAGTTTCAGTCTGTGTGATATGCACTTTTTTCGCCACCGCACGTGTAGACATGTGCGAAGGCATTGATCTCCAGCTGATTCACTGATTTGGGAGCCGGCCACCCGCTCTCCCGCTGCTGTTCTATGACTCTCTGTTTCTGATGATACAGAGTACGTGGCCGTAAAGGAGGACAAAAAAGAGGAGTTTGTGCCACTTGGTGGGGAGTAGAGAACGAGAGAGAGAGGGAGAAGACCAAAAGAAAGAAGGACGCAATTAGAGGGAAAAAGGAGGAAAAACTATAAATATATGTACCTAAACATATATATATGTTTGTTTTCTTTTCTGCTTGTCTGCGTGGAGGGTGACGAAGGGAGTTGTCAATGAGTTCCAGCGATGATGAGTGGCGAAATCCACCCGACTTGCTCGCGCGTAGAACAGCGGGCCGTAGAGGTGGGGAGGACGCCATGCTGGCGGCGCGGAGACAAGCGGTGCAGCGGCAGCACGGCTCTGCAGCGTTGGCCCCGCCGCCGACACAACCGCCGGCACAAGAACCCCTCATGGTGCCTGAGCAGTTGGCGCGGAAAACGATGCCGCCACCAAAACGAGAGACGGGAGTAACGGAGGAGATGCTTGAATCCCTGCGTCAGGAGCTCGAGGCAAAAAAAAAAGTGCTCACTGCGGCGAAGGAAAAGGAAAATTCTCTGAGGGAGAAGTGGCGTGCGCTGAGGGCACAAAAACTCGCAGAGATTGCACAACTTGACGTTAAGCTTCACCACCATAAGGACGCTATGGAAGATGTAAAGGCGTCAGCGGAACGTGAAGTTCGTGAGGCAGAAGACGCGCAGCAGCAACAACTGGAGGAAGAGCGCATTAAAGTTGCGAGTGCCGTTCGTGAACAATACGAGCCGCAGATCGTGGCCCTACGTTCCCAGCTGGAAGGGCTGCAGCAGCAGGAGGCCAAACTGCAGGCAGAATTGGGTGTGAAAGACACCGTGAAGGATCTTCTGCACAAATGTGTTGGTAGTGCGCTTGCCACTATTTTGCAGCGCGTGAATGACTTGTTTGCAGCCGAGAGTTCAACGATGGAAAGTTGGGAAGACGAGATACAACGTCTTGTGCGACATGAAGTGCGTTCCTCTTTTGCCGTCACGACCGGGAGCGAGGCGCAACGGGAGCGTGAGGACTGCCAGAAATTATTTCAGGAGTTGCTTGAATTTTGGCGCAAGGCAGAGGAGGAGGAGCGGGAACATGTCCTCAAGATGGACGAGCAGTTGATATTAGACATGCAATCAATGGTGCATGACGATCTTGACCGGCTCCAGCGTGAGGAGTTAAGCATGGAGGAGATGTACGTGGAGTCGCGCGAAGCGTGGGCGTCGCAGCACCAGGAAATTCTAAAGCGTGAATTAGACGCAGCCATGAGCCGCCGCACCGCCGAGCACGAGGAGCAGCGAGCACTTCGCCATCAACTGCACTTGGAGCGTCTGAAGGCCGTGGAGGAGAACCATCACGACATGTTGGAAAAACAGCGATGGTTTCATGAGAAGCATATGGCGCTTCTGCGTGAGCAGCATGTCAAAGAGGAACGTCTCGCCGAGCAACGGAGTCGTGTCAATGCAGCCATGCAAGCAGACGCTTCACGCGCTACGGAAGAAGTTAATCGCATTGTACATGCCGTTGAGGCTCTTCTGAAAAGAATGAAGGAATATCGAGCCGCAATTGAGGATGGCCGCGCAGCAATAGACAGCGATCGTCGGCGGGCGTTGGAGGCACGAGAGGAGACACTCACAATGCTTCAGGAACTTGTCACGAAACAAAATGTTTCTGTTGGTGAAGAGTACAACTCGCTTATGGCGACGCTAAGCAGGTTAGAGGGTCTACGTCGTACGATGGAGCAACATCTTGAAGAGGAACGTCTCTGGCTAGGAAAACAGGAGGCGAATTTTGCAAACGGCAAGACGGAGTGGGAGCGAGAGTACCGGCGATGGAAACAAATGGTGGAAGATGAGAAAAGCAACATACAAGAGCGCTTTGGTCGCGTTCTCGCAGAGCTACGGGAGGCTACCGTGCAGCTAGCCGAAGAGGAACGTGATGCCAAAGCAGAACAAGCATCCATGGTGTCGTGGTTTCGCACGGCAAGCGAAAGTGCACATGCAGAAGTAAGTCAACTGCGTCAGCGCGAGGAGGATCTTAGGGGACGACACGAGGTGATGGTAAAACTCCTCAATGACTTTCAACGGACGACGGAGCAGGTGGATGAACAGTGGCGGCAGTTGCGGCAAGAGCGTCAAGGCCTTATGAAGGAGAGCGAAGCGCTGCGGAATGATGAAATGCAGCTACGGCAGTCCAGGCAGTACCTGCATCTCCTCCAAGAACAGCTCGATGCCAAACGTATAGAAACGGCAGAGGGCCATGGGCGCATAAATGCGCTTCGGCGCGAGCTACAGCTCTCCAAAGAAGCGGTGGAAAATTTACCAAGGCAGATACCTGAAGCCCGTCACCAAATGCTGCCCGCTGCGCCGCCAAACTTCTGTCACGCCATGCCAGCTGCCAGACAAAACGCCAACCGATTGCCACTGCGTGTGCTTCACGAATTACGCGGAATGCTTGGAAAGAATAGCCGGCAGATTCCAGTCAGGGCGGTGGTTTCAGAATCACCTGAGCCCGCGGTTGATCTTACATTTGCCTCTACCGCCGCGGAAACCAGCCCAGTGCACCGCCGGATGGCACCACAACACGAACAGCCACGTTCCTATCAGACTGGCAAGCCAGAGCACACGTATGTTGACCCGGTTGACAGCTCGAGAGACACCTCGACGCATCTATACGACACCTCAAACAACAATTTCACGAGTCTCATCAACTTCTCAGACACGGAGTCAACACGTCACTCACTTCATACTTCATCATAGAAACGAAAGAAAAAAATCAAAGCGGGCATGTTTAAAGACAGTAATCAACACCGTGATTGCCAACAAATTGCTCTAAGAATGTTGCTTTTACCAGTATATAAGATCGAACCGTTTATTATTATTATTATTATTATTATTTAAAAAATGCTGCAGGAACGGTTTCCTAACAAACAACATGTACTCTGTTCTATTTATTCTTCTTGCGCCCCAAAAAACAAAGGCATTCACAGGAAGGAACTATACATAATGCGACGTCGCTGATGCATAACACGATATTCAGGTAAAATATGGCATGACCCGCTGAATGAGACATCATCATGCACCACTCTGACGGACGTCCTGCGGCCCTCCCCTCCCTTCCTTGCATCTTCTTTTTTTTTTTCCCCTCTTATTTTTATTTTCTCACCGCAGTATCGCTCCAGTCCCTCGCCCCCTGCGAGCATCGGGAACATGCGCTGTGCTGCCTCGCCTGGCTGTGCGCCATCTGTGATGCCACGAAATGACATTATTCAAAAGCACAGTTTGATCTGATACACTCGGACGAGAACGTCGCTACGATTGCTGACTGGGCGCATGCAGGCCGCGGGCATATGCCGCGACGCACAATTTACACGGACCCGCCCTGGTGTTCTACCTTGGTGCCGGTGGTGTCCGCCAGTGTTGTGCAAGAGGAAACTGAGGCGGCCACCACTGTGATGCGACGCTGTACTTCGTAGGGTAAAATCTGACACCGACCATGACGGTACGAAGCTGGCGCGGGCACGCACTACCCCAGTGGTGGGCGCTGCTCGCGCGTTGTCTGAGAAGGTGTCGCCAAATCCGCGCTGTTATCATCACCTCCCTCTTCCCCCGTGCCCCACCTTGTTGGAATTCGGCCGAAGCAGTGCCCTCAGGTAATGTGGTGGTTGCGATCCCGTCAGCACCGCAGGTTCAAGAGGCACGAGATGTATTTCCCGCGGCAGCAGGGAGAAGCGGAGGAGGCGCCTCTTTTTCTCTCTTTCTGTGTTTGTATGCGTTCGCGACGTCGCTGATGCATAACACGATATTCAGGTAAAATATGGCATGACCCACTGAATGAGACATCATCATGCACCACTCTGACGGACGTCCTGCGGCCCTCCCCTCCCTTCCTTGCATCTTCTTTTTTTTTCCCCCTCTTATTTTTATTTTCTCACCGCAGTATCGCTCCAGTCCCTCGCCCCCTGCGAGCATCGGGAACATGCGCTGTGCTGCCTCGCCTGGCTGTGCGCCATCTGTGATGCCACGAAATGACATTATTCAAAAGCACAGTTTGATCTGATACACTCGGACGAGAACGTCGCTACGATTGCTGACTGGGCGCATGCAGGCCGCGGGCATATGCCGCGACGCACAATTTACACGGACCCGCCCTGGTGTTCTACCTTGGTGCCGGTGGTGTCCGCCAGTGTTGTGCAAGAGGAAACTGAGGCGGCCACCACTGTGATGCGACGCTGTACTTCGTAGGGTAAAATCTGACACCGACCATGACGGTACGAAGCTGGCGCGGGCACGCACTACCCCAGTGGTGGGCGCTGCTCGCGCGTTGTCTGAGAAGGTGTCGCCAAATCCGCGCTGTTATCATCACCTCCCTCTTCCCCCGTGCCCCACCTTGTTGGAATTCGGCCGAAGCAGTGCCCTCAGGTAATGTGGTGGTTGCGATCCCGTCAGCACCGCAGGTTCAAGAGGCACGAGATGTATTTCCCGCGGCAGCAGGGAGAAGCGGAGGAGGCGCCTCTTTTTCTCTCTTTCTGTGTTTGTATGCGTTTGCGACGTCGCTGATGCATAACACGATATTCAGGTAAAATATGGCATGACCCGCTGAATGAGACATCATCATGCACCACTCTGACGGACGTCCTGCGGCCCTCCCCTCCCTTCCTTGCATCTTCTTTTTTTTTCCCCCTCTTATTTTTATTTTCTCACCGCAGTATCGCTCCAGTCCCTCGCCCCCTGCGAGCATCGGGAACATGCGCTGTGCTGCCTCGCCTGGCTGTGCGCCATCTGTGATGCCACGAAATGACATTATTCAGAAGCACGGTTTTATCTGATAGTGGGCGTTGTACTGTAATGTTTTCCTTTTTGTTGGTTTTATGTTAGGATTTGAAGTTGTTGTTTAACGAAACAAAAAAAAGAATATCAGAATGTCCTCCCAGAAGCATTTGGTTTCCGACTTTACTGAGGGATCGGGTTCCTGGCAAGATCAAACTTATGGATTCGACACCGTTCTTGTGCATGGGGGTGTGAAGCCTGATCCTGTGACAGGGGCTGTGCTTACGCCCGTGTATCAAAGCACAACTTTTGTTCAGGAGTCTATCGGTAAATACCAAAGTAAAGGGTACAGTTACACCCGCTGCGCAAATCCAACGGTCTCGGTGTTGGAGCGAAAACTGTGTGCCATTGAAAACGGTGACTATGCTACGGTGTACAGCACAGGCATGTCTGCGACCACCACGGCTATTTCTTCTTTTATGAGTGCGGGTGATCATGCGATTATCACCGATTGCAGTTACGGTGGCACGAACCGTGCGTGCCGTGTTTTTTTTCCACGTTTTGGTATGGAATTTACGTTTGTCGATATGCGTGATCTAAAAAACGTGGAGGCTGCCATCAAGCCAAACACAAAGTTGGTTTTTTCGGAGACGCCAGCAAACCCAACGTTGACCCTTACTGATTTAACCGAACTGTCGAAACTCTGCAAGGCGAAGGGTCTTATTCACGTTTGTGATAATACGTTTGCTACCGCTTTTATCATGAGGCCTCTCGACTTGGGCGCGGATGTGACGCTCATCAGCACAACCAAGTTTGTGGATGGGCACAACATGACTGTTGGAGGCGCGCTTGTGACGAAGCGGAAGGATCTGGACGAAAAGGTGCGTCTCACGCAGAATATACTTGGAAATGCCATGTCCCCATTTGTGGCGTATTTGCAGCTTCAGACTGTAAAAACAATGTCTTTGCGCGTGGCGAAACAGAGCGAGAATGCGCAGAAAGTGGCAGAGTTCCTTGAGACTCACCCCGCTGTGGAGAAGGTGATGTACCCAGGTCTAAAGAGCTTTCCTCAGAAAGCGCTTGCCGACCGTCAGCATCTTAACAACAACCACGGTGGCATGCTATGGTTTGAGGTGAAGGGGGGTACAGCTGCGGGGCGGAAGCTGATGGATACTGTACAGCGTCCCTGGTCACTCTGCGAAAACCTCGGCGCGGCGGAGAGTATCATCACGTGTCCATCAGTCATGACACATGCCAACATGACAAAGGAAGATCGCCTGAAGGTTGGTATCACTGATGGGTTTGTTCGCGTTTCGTGTGGCATCGAAGAGGCAAAGGATCTAATTACTGCACTCAAGACCGCCTTGGATGCTCTTTAGAGGTTATAATGTAAACTTATATTTGAGGTAAAAAGTACCAACGATGAATTTTTTGTTTTTAGTATCTTCTAATTACTTTATTTGTGGGGAGAGGCCCTCAGTATGTTGTAAATATAAATATATATATATATATATTCCTTTTTGATGCATCATGACTGCAAAAAGAAAGGTCAGAGAAGGGACTCTGTAGGATTCAATGAAACTCGCAAAAGTTGGGGGTGAAAGTAGTTTTTTGTTGTTGTTGTTGTTTTAATACGCATTTTTTTTATCTTCGGCAAATAAAAATGTGTGAAAGAAGGGCGGAGAGAAATGAAGAAGACAAAAGGAAGTTTTTGTTGCACTCTTGTGTGACACCGTCCCTTTTATTATTATTATTATTTATTTATTTATTTCTCTCTCTCTTAATTGTTTTGTTTTGTTTGTTTTTGGCTGCAGGGGAATTAATTATTGAGCGCTTTGCTTCCACTGTCATGGAGTTTCTTATTTTCCTGCCATTTTCTTGCGTGTCTGCGCATGGATTTTTCATCTCTTGTTGTCGTCTTTTCTTCTTTTGGGCTTTATTTTTGAGGCCTGTGGACGGGTGAACTCGCCACGGCTGCGATCCGACCCCACGTGAGTGCCGTGTCCCTATTCTCCCGCCCAAAACCCAGCACGTCGAGGTCTTCACCCTCGTCTTACAAGTTCTTGTTTTTTTTGTGTTTTTACTGAAGAAGTAGTCTGTGTGTTTTTTTTTTCTTTTGTCTGTCTGCGGGAAAGAGAGAGGGGTGGAAATATGCCGCCGAAGTCTCGTTCGAGGTCGAAGTCCAAGTCGAAGTCCAAAAAGGCGCCGCCCCCTCCGCCGCCCGTAATCCTGTACGCCTCGAACCATGAGGAGTTTGACGCGGTGGTGCTGCAGCACAATGGTGGCTGCCTGGTTGCCGTTGTGACGCCTTTTTGCAATCGCTGCTCACGAACCATCATGCCGTATTTGGAGAAGCTGAATTCGGAACGGCCGAGTCTATTGTCGACGCTAAACATTGTGGTGGTCAACGCCGGCGATGAGACGGGGGATTTGTGTCGTTCACTAGAAGTTGTGGCTATCCCCACCTTTTTTGCCTACTCCTATGGAAAACAGATTCATGCCTTCTCCGGGGATAACGTAGAGAAGATACTGTTGCTTGCAAAGCTGGCAGCGCAGCAGGCCGAAGAGGACAAAAAAGCAATGGAAGAAGCCGCAGCCGCAGCCGCAGCCGCAGAAGTCGAAACAGAAGCAGCAACCGCACAAAATTAAGTGGCAGCAACATATGAAGAGCCACAACAAAAAAAAAAAAAAAAAAAAAAAGAGGTTCCAATAGAAAGTAATAACGTCTGTAATGTGCTGGCAGTGGCGACTTCTGCCGTTCTTGGAGCATATGAAAATGTTTTGCAGAAGGAAAAAAAAAGCTGTTGTAGTCAAAAGTTGGGTAGAACGCAAATAAAATGTGTCTCTATGTATAGTGTTTGTTTGGAAATGATAAATTTGCATCCAATTGGCGTTAATTTGTTGTTGTTGAAGTTATATTTTATGTATTTCTGCGAGTAGACCTCTTGGTTTGTTTGTTTCTTTGTTTCTTAAACTGTGTATAAACCTTTTTTTTCTTCTTATTGTCTGGTCTTCCTGCAGCGAAGAGTAGAAGCGTTAAAGTGACTCCTCGCGAAGGAAACGGGAAAGAGTTATTTTATTTGAGGCGTCTCCGACGAATTTTTGTTGCCTGGCTAAGAGAAGGAGGGAGGCGTAGCAAAGGGGCAGCATAGGTGCAAGGAAACAGCAACAGCCAAATAAGGACGAGTTTGGAGGGGGTGCGCGTGTTTCTTGTACCATCGTCGCCTTTGTTTCTACTGCAGTGGTTCCTTGATATCTGCGTATTTCTGGCTGTTCTTGACGGCGCACTGCGAATCGCGCTTCTCTTTTGGGTCCCACATCCCAGAGAAATCAGGCGGAGAGTGAACGTCAGGATATAGAGCAGAGGGAGGGATCTGCGCGTGCGTGACACATATCCGGAAAGGGAAGCGGCACGGCTCTTTGGTTCCGTGTTTTTTGTGCCCATCGATCCTTTTTTTTTTTTTTTTGGCTTGATTGGGTACAGTGAGTGGCAGACACCACTCGGTGGGGTTCCCTCCGTGCTGCGTTGTTGTTTCTCCGGTCAAATCTCTCTTTCTTGGTACGTGAGTGTGTCTTTTCTCTGGCGTGGGACGGTGCGTTATTTGCGTAGACCTTTTGTTGTTGTTGTTTTTCAGAGGGTGGAGGCGGACGGTGGGAGGCACACAACAAGAAAAAAAGTAAGGAGTTGGGCACGTCAAGTGCGCGATAGAGTGAGAGGAAAGCGGCAGTGGGGGTAGAAGAACTGCACGAAGAAGAGACGGGACACCTCAGGGAGAGGGAAGGAATATTCTCTATTAACTTTCTCTGCTGCTGTTGGACAGCGGGCCTTTTTGTTTTTGCTGCTGGTATTGGTGGGGAATTTGGGGTGTAGAGGAGACTACGTGTTTCTCCGCTTTCTGCACAAATATCACACGGGGTGGAAACTGAAAAATTAGCGTTTCCCGTCATTTATAATGATCTCGTTGAATTATCACCAACGCAATACGCAGGCAGTGAAAGTTATCCTCTCGGAGCTTTACGCCACTTGGAGCACCAGCGATGAAGGTGCATTTGACATTCAGAAGGCCCTCGAGGAGATACTCAATGCGGCGCACCTGACTAATAAAAGTGGCCATGTAGATGGCGGCCAGGCGCAACATCGCTACGCTTCGCGTTTGGATGACAGGGATGATAATTGCCAGACAGAGCTGCGAGCTCTGGAAGTGAGCAGCTCGCACCACACAGATCCTAACGTGGTGTCGCAACCTTTATCTCCTAAACGTAGCACGTCTCCGCCACCATCATCTCCTGGTCAAATGCGTCGCCGCTTATCGGATGAATACCAAAGAACCCCAAGTCCTGTGCAAACACCCCGGTTCTTTGGTGTGGATGAATTGGATTATCCACACCGCGCAGGTTCCCCCGGTTGTATAGCCCCGTCCTCACCTAGCGCCTCTTCACACGTAAAGCCTGTTGTGGACCCTATGGCGCCCGTGCCACATGTCAGCAACAACAGTGGCGCAACAGTCTCTCCGCCGGCAGCACACTCCTTAGGCGATTTAAATCTGGACACAATTATCAACGCAGCGATGGTGTCAGGAGATGTCTTTGCTTCTATAGAAACAGTAACAAACGGAAGCGTGTCGCAGTCGCAGCGTTTTGTACACTCTTCTGGAAGCTTTGCTTTGACGCCACCTGAGAATGTGCGGCGTGCAACCTACAATGACATCCCCACGTTTTATGGAAAGGCGGAAATGAGAGGTGCACTCCATGCCATCTCAGAGACAGAAGAAGAAGCTTTAAGGAGTTTCTTTGCTATCAAAGGCTCTGCGCTAAATCGCAAGCTGTTATCAGGATCTACTTTACCCATCGACTCGACAAAAACGGTTCGAAAGGGTCAGTTTGGAAAGCTCTGTCAAGATGTTTTTAAAATTCCAACATGGATGAAGGATGCGCTTTTTCGTCGCATTGCAGCAGCAGCAGGCGTCTCTGAGTCCGCCGCTCTTACCTACGAGCAGATATCGAGTTACTACTACAACGTATTTGGCCCACTGACGGTGAATCGACGCCTGTTTGAGCTTATTCGCGGTGATTCGAACAATGAGTATTTAACGCTTCAAGAATTTAAGGATATGGTGCGGTATCTGGTTGACTCCCATCCCGGGCTTGAGTTCCTCAAGCAACCTGAGTTCCAAGAGTACTACTGCCGCACCGTTGCTATACGCATCATGTATTCATTAGAACGGCAACAAAACGGCCAAGTCAGATGGTTTGCGTTTGATCGTAGTGATCTTCCTGAAGTAATGAAAGAATTAGATGAAAAAGATGTTAATTTGGTGCTACAGTATTTCTCTTATGAGCACTTTTACGTTCTCTATTGCAAGTTTTGGGAGTTGGACACGGACAGAGATCAGCTGGTTGGGTTTGATGACTTGTGCAAGTATGGTCAAAATTCCATTTGTCCCTCTGTAATAAAGCGGGTCGTGGAGGGTTCGGGGCGGCCACTCTCGTCAGGGAAATTGGAAAAACTTGACTTTGAGGATTTTGTGTACTTTTGCTTGTCAGAAGAAGACAAAAACAATAGCCCGGCCGTATACTACTGGTTCAAAGTGCTGGATGTGGATGGGGATGGCATCTTGAGCGGTTATGAGCTGTATGAGTTTTACAGGGAAAACCATCAGCGTTTCTTAGAGTTTTCCGAGAGCCCAGAAGGAGATTTGTCATATGCGGATATGATGTGCCAAATGATAGACATGATGGGTTTCTCACTTTCCAAGGAGCATCAGTTTGGCTTGACGTTGAGTGACCTGCGTGCCTGTCCGACGCCGTCCAACTTCTTCAACATGGTGTTTAATGCCCAGAAGTTTATACTCTTTGAGCATCGCGACCCCTTTGCAGAACATCAGCAAAAGATGAGGCCGGAAAAAACGGACTGGGACCGCTTTGCCCGTGCGGAGTACGACCGCATGGCCAGCGAGGCCCAGTGAGAGAACACGCGTCTGGGCAAAGCCAGAGAGACGACGAGGAGAGACAAGGCGAAGGGGAGAGAAGAGAAGAGAAGAGAATGGTGGCGGCGGCAAACGAGACGGAAGAATACGTGAATGAGAGGGCGAGCAGGGGAGGGCGGGATGTTTGTGTTTTTATCCGCCCTGGGGGAAGTTGTTTTCGTGTTCTTTTGTGTGTGTATCCTCTCATGATGTCTCGGTGGTCTTTTTGCTCCCCATCCTCATCCTCCTCCTGCTTGTGATGTTCCCTTTTTTTTTTTTTTGCCGTATTCGCACCGAACCGCCCCCTTCACGCCGCCATCAAGCAAAAGAAAATAATTTATTTTTATTTTTAAAAAAAGAAGATTTTGCCTTGTACCTTTGGCGTTTCTCTGCTCCTTTCCCTTCCTACAGTCTGCGGGTGAGACGTCACGTCTTCTTTCGTCGTTGGACGGCGGCCTTTGTTATAATTGTCTCTTACCCACGTTTGTTTCACATGCTCCTTGTCGCCGCGAGCCATTTTCTCTCTCTCCCTCTCTCTTTTTTTTTCTCTTTCTCTCTGTGTGTACGCGCGTGCCGGGAAAAAAGGAGGAAAAAAAGGGACGAACAACGACAAAAAGAAGAGGAACTGACCCCCTCCCAAAAGAAAAAAATAAAATGGCGGCTTTTTCTTCCCCTCTCTATTTTCTCTGTGTGAAAACCTCCGTCTCTCCGTATTTGCGCTCCCCCCACCGATGTCTTTTTGGGGCTTCCACAACTCTGACACATGCTCCTCTTCATTTGTTGTCTGTCTTTTTTCTGCGCCCCCACGCCGACAGCAGGCTCTGTGCATCACAACAACAGTCAAATAATAAAGGAAGCCCAGCCTTCGGAAGGGAGGTCTGGAAAGCCCATTACACACATAACACCTGTTGTTTGATTTACTGCAGCTCTTTCCACATATAAAATAAGAGCAAACACACACACACACACACACAATTCCTTTTGGGCGGGAGGTGTTTTTGTCAAGGGGTGACGAATTATCACACGCGTATTTTTACATACCTATTTATTACATTGTTTATACACGTGCTAGGGAAAGGAGGAGGGGGTAAGTGAGACATTTCAAGGACTCCTTCAGAGAACACCGCAGAAGAAGGAATATAACACCCACCGATTTTATCCACACCTTCTGCGTACAGGCAAACGAGACAGGAAGGGAAAATAAAAAATTGAACGGTATTTTCTGATTCATATATTTCTCATCCACAGGAGCGTCGTTTTCCCCTTTTTTTTTTTTTTTAGTTCCTTTTTTTTTTTTAGTGATTGTTTGTGCATTCTTGTTTTATTTTTCTTCTTTACAGCCACCACTTCGTGATATCAAACATTCTTCTTTCGGCCGTGGCCCCTGAAAATATTATTATCATTTTTTTTTATTGCTTGCAACCGGCGAGGAATCGGCAGGCCAAGGGCGAGAGGGTGGAAAAGGGCCGGCGAAGAGAGCACAACGTATTGTATTATTTGGCAAGCACTATCACAGAAACTGCTCCGAGCGCTGCAGTACCACTGTTTGTGTGTTTCTTACGCAAACGGGGTGGGCCATACGATTTAATTACATCACACACTGAAAAAAAAAGCCTTTTTTTTCTTTTTTTTTTTTTTTGCTTTGTTGGCCGCTGCTGTTGTTTATTTTTTTGAATTTTGCCTACGTATTAGGCGTAGTTGAGGGAGGACCGCCAGTATTTTTATTGCTGCTGCTGACACAGACGTTGTTTTTGTTTGTTTGTTTTGCGCAATTCAGAGCAGCATGGGGAAAACACTAGGCTTAAGTTCGCTGGAGCTCAAGGCTCTTAGTGTCCCCTCATCGCTTCGTTTCCTTCTCGGCGTGGAATATGATGTTTTGTTGTGTGTGACAGAGGTTGGCAAGCGCCGATCGTGCACGATTCGCTTTCCTGTTTTGGGAATTAACTTTCAGAAGCTTCTCGAACTGTGCGCGGAGCGCTTTGGCCTTTGTTGCACACAAAATGAGGATCACTCACTTCTCTCCGGGACGGCCATAATACCACCTTTGCGCTACATTGATTACTTACCAGGGGCTCTACACGCGGAGGAATTGCTGGGTTGTTTGGGTGTGAAACCGGTCACAAATCCAAAACGTTACGGAGCATCCGTACACGATTTTTTAGCATCATTTATTGATTACAGTGGGTACAACACAGATGCTTCACTTGCCGATGTGCATGGTACCGGGTTTTACTTAACGCTAGACCACGGCCTCTCGACTGCCACCCATAGCCATCTTGTGAAGATTTCCTTTCACAAAGGGTGTAGTCTGGAGGAGGCGTTGCGGGAATTTGAGGAGTTTAGTGGGTGGACCACATTTGACATACGCTACGAGGATGTGGACGACAAGCTTGCAGGTGGAGTCGTAGTGATGCCCTCAGTTCAAGATGCATGTGATTTATTTGAAAAGTACGAAGATGAGGACTCTGATGATGAGGGGGGGTTACTCCCGTTTATGCTTCGCCCAGTCTCTCCACTGACGTCTGTTCCTTCTGTAGAGGATTCTGCTTTGAAAAGGTTACGAGATCATCAGTGGGGAGAAATTGAAAAATTCTGGGAACGCTTCCCCAAGTGGAAAAATTGTGTTGTGGTTTCAAATCTATACGAGTCTGCCTCACTGGAGGAGGCCCTTGCGCTCTTTAAGGATCTCACCGTCACGGCCTCTTCGCTGGTGGAGGATAACTCGCCCGCGCGACGAAGACGCGTTTTTGTGACGTTTGCGACGTCGGATGAGGCCAAAACTGCGCTGTTTGTGGATGGCAAGAGTACGAAAGGAAAAACACTGCGGGTACAGGTTTCGCCGCCGTACCTCAATGAAAGTCGACGGGGGCGAGTGTTGGAAAGTCGACCGCCTTCGCTCTCGGAACCGCCTGGACAACAGCCAGCAACAGAGAAGCGTCCGGTTTCTTTGGGTTCTCCTGCTCACGCTCGAGAAAAACGTGACGCCGCTGCCAGTAACAATCCCGAGGCTTCCACACCGTCGGGAAGAAATCGAAGTAGCAAGAAAGCTGGCGATGACAAAAATTGGAATGCACCTGTACCGAAAAGCCGCACACCGATACAGGATGCCGCCTCGGCTCCTGTTCCTGGTGCAGCTGCAGCTAGGGAAGGCGGAGACCAAAAAAAAACAGCAACACCGCCAAAACAATCACAACGTAGTCCAATAATTGTTGCGTCTACGATGAATGCGAACGCCAGAGAATTTGTTCCGTCTTCTACATATCAGGCAAGCACTACCTCTCCTGAGTACTACCATTCGTCAATCCCAATGGCATATTTGGACGAAAACTACGGGCAGCCTCCTCCTTGTTACCCTGCCGTCGCTTTGGGACCTGTTGGAATGGCGCGTCCAATGGGTGTAGTGCCCCGAAGTTTAAGGAGCGGGGCGGCGCCACCGCCGTATTCGTCGCCGCCGCCTTACTCCATGGTCAGTGGACAAAGCATGCACATGGTTCAGCCCCCACCTCCTCCACCTCCACCGTCCTCGTAGTCCCCACGGAAGTGTGAGGCGGCGGAGAGAACAAAAGTGGAGATGTGGGGCGATTCTTGAGACAAAAAAAAAAAATTGAATAACTAAACAAATAAATACAAGGATAAAGGCAAAAGAGGGAAAAGAAGCACAAGATCAAAGTGATGGCAATAAACCGCAAAATAAACTGTGGATAAAAAGAAGCATGTCACCCACAGTTTACCAACGCCACAAACAAGCCTTCGCTCCCCACAAATTTGTTTCTCTTGTTGAAGAAGGAAAAGGGTCCTGCAGGCAGAGCGGGCCCAAGGGATATTTAATAACTTAACTTATAGAGAAATTGCGGATATTTTTTCGTTTTTGTGAGCAAGTAGCGAAAAGAAAAAGAGATGATCTGAGAAAAAAAGAAGACGGAGAGAGAAGGGAAGGGAGAGGAAGAATGGAATTAGGCGGAAAGAAAAATAAGTTTGGTTTCATCGCTTGATATGTCGCTTGTGATATGTGGCGTCTATTACATCTAACAACCGAAACGGACGCATCGGAGAGTTGACGGGGCAAGTCACATCGCGGTGTGTTATTTTGTTTTGTTGTTGTTGTTTTTTTGTGTGTTTTTTTATTTGTCGGTGTTGGTTTGGCCTTCTGTTGTGGGGTTAATTCAGCACGAAGGAAACGGCATTGATGTCGTGAATCATTTGTTTCTTTTTCTTCCCTTTTTTTTTTTAAAGAAAGGGTGGATTGGAATGAGTGAAAAAAAAGTGCACATTACGGCGTCGGGCAATGTGATACGGAGCGACCGCCCAAGTCATTTGGAGCCGCCTGAGCAAATCATTGTTGTTATGCGTCATGGAGAGCGCCGCGATGGGGCCGTTGGAAGTCCGCCGGAGGTTGATCCGCCGCTGACGGAGAATGGCATTGTACAGATTGCGGAAGTTGCTAAAAAACTTCAGGCCTTGTTGGGGGTAAAACGGGCAAGAAAATTGCTTCTTATTGTCTCGCCATTTTTGCGGACTCTTCAAACCGCCCAAGAACTCCAGAGGTGTGCCATTGGTGAGTTGCATCATCAAATCATTGACAACACCCTTTGTGAGGTATACGGACCAGTGAGGATAAAGAGCAGCACGGCCCCATTGTTGTCGGATGTGATCGTGAAGAATGGCTTGGGTGAGTTGCCGCTGTGGGGGGAAACCATTGAACTGGCATCAAAAAGGTATGTCAATTGTTTTTTTCGTAATTGTCACCGTTACTCAGACAAGAACTTGTTGCTGGTAACCCATGGAGATGCCATTAGTGCCATTATGGCTGCCTTATATCCATTGCGCACAGTGTACGAGACGGAGTACCTTTCCTTTATTGTTTTTCAAAGAGACTCAAAAAGTGTCTCTCGCGGTGACTTGGAGTCGTGTCAGTTAATAACTTCTAGTGGAGTACAGTGGCTTGTAGACGGTCCTGAAACTTCTTTGGCGGAGACGAATACATTGGAAGCAGATGGCTTCTCGGGTAGTGGCCTACTTGTTCGAAACTCTAAGCCGCCTCCAAATGCGGGCATGTGTGGTTATGGATGCGTAGATTCCAATGTTGGTGCGATTGACGGAGAGTGGATGGCAATTAATGATACTCATGGGACAAATAGGCATGAATTAGCGAGCGTTTCCCTTATTTTTCGTTGTATGGTGATTGTTTCTCAGTGGGCAACGATTTATTTATGGTCTAATAAAGGCAACGCTGCGATATATATGATTATGGTGATAGCTTTTGAGTTGGTTTCGGTGCTTCTCCATTTCAATAATTTGAATCGCTTGCGATTGGGTGCGTCGCTTAGCCGTGTGGAGCTTTTTCATAGACTCACGAGAAACCAGTTTGCATGTGTTTTTTGTGGGTTAAGTCCCCCTTTTCAAAGATGCACTTTTTCCCTGTGTATATCTCTTTTAAAGGGACTTGGCATATTTGTATTGTGCATGGCAGCCGCGTTCATTGCAAGCTTATTTCAAAACTCGGGTTTTATTAGCATGCGGCACTCTTACGCAGAAATTTTTAAATCGGTGGCAAAGGTTTCTGTGTTTGCTTTATTTTTCTTGATAGATACATGCCGAAGATTGAGCGATTTGGAGCATTAGGCAGAATACCGTGAAGTTTTCCGAGCTGAATTCATCCAAGATGGTTCTTGAAAGCGCGGGAGATGATATATGAATTATTATTTTCTTTTTGCTTTTTCCATATATATATATATATATATGGTGGGGCGGTATGTATGCAGTGTTTTGTCACGGCTGAAGTCTCCTTTAAAATATTTGCAGGGGAAAGTGGTGGGGTTGAAGTAGAATGAGGATGGCTGCCTCTGTTTGCACCGTACAACTCTAATGAAAGGATGGGGGATGCCGCAAGGACCATTTTTTGAATGTTTCTGTTTTTGTTTTTTGCTTTTTGGCAGTCGAAAGAGGGAAGCGGCATAAAAAAAAAAAAGGTGCGCGGGAAAGGGGTCGTGGTGCGCTATCAGTCACCATTGCCGCTTATCTTCTAATGAACGCCGACGGAGGCACCGACGAGACCACGGCGAGGTTGGTGTCTCGTTTGGCCCAGCGCTCGACGCTGTCGAGTGACGCTGAGCCCTTTATTCCCTCATTTCTGCGAGCACCGGCGACCACAACTGAAACTCAGCATAAAAATGGGGAGGAGAATGCGGTTGAGTTGAAACGAGGCAAGGTGCTGGAAACTGGGCTGAAGCAGCTCTATTGCAACGCTGAGACATACACACAGCTGCCGTCCGTTGAGAGCCTGGCAACTACGGCGGCTGTTGCTTCCACAGCCCTCTGCACATTTGGTAGCATGACAGAAGAACAGTTGCAGGAGTTGGAGGAGTATCTATGGAATCCTTCTCAAAATAATAATGAGTCTTTTCAAGATGATGAGCGGGTCTTTGCCAATGACGATGATGGTATGGATCCAGAAGAGGAGGAGTGGCTCTTTAACCAAATGTTGGAAGCAGCAGGAGTCACGCAGATTGAAGAGACAACTACCGACGAGATTGGGGGGTCATGAATTATCCGTCGCAAACGCGGCCGCCACGTACGAATCCACGAAGAAAAGATAAGTGACGAGTGGGAAAAAAGGAAACGAAAGGAATTGGGGGAAAAAAAAAAGTATTGGGATTTGGAATGGCGAGAACTACAGCGTTAGGACGACTTCGATATCTGGAGTCACGGCAAGGTTGATTGGTTGGCGTTGGCAACTCTCTGCGCATTGTTTTCCCTCTCACACAAAATCGAGGGTTAGAAGAGGGGAATGAGACAATCAGGGGAGAGAAAAAAAAAAAAAAAAAACGAAACGAGTATGAGAAGAAGAAAAAAATCAGTAAAAAAAAAAGAAACGGATTTTTCCACTTCTCTCCTTATGTCAGTTTCTGTTTAGTCCATTTGCTCTTGTCGTGTCACCACTGCAACCGGCGTCATGCGGTGTGTGCGTGCTCGTGCAATTATGCTGTTTTATTTTGGTGGTTTTTGTTGCCATTGTTTTTTGTTCTTGTTGTTGTTGTTGTTGTTGTTGTTTTCCTTCTGGAAAATCTTTTTTTATCTTTTCTTCTCCCCTCCCCCTGCCAATCCTGCCAAATGTGCAGGAAGAAGGAAAGGAGGGAGTAAGTGGGACCAAGGCGATTGACCACTACAGCAACCCTCTTGCCTTTTCTCGGAGTTGAGAAGACACCCCTGCCAGGAGAAGTGTAGCGCGTGATTTCTCACGTTTCTCAAGATGGACAGAAGCCGTAGTGATGGGGAAAAACCCCGTGTTTTTTCTCGGACGTCCACGCAAGGTTCGTCTGCCTTTGAGTCATCAAATTCTCAATTCTCCATGGGCTTAGGGATTGTGGAAGTACCGCCGGACTCCAAAAAGCACTACGACGTGTCTGGTTTCCAGTTGAAGAAAAACAACTGCTCGATTAGGCCGCCAACCGGAAATGAAGAGACTCAAATTCTCTCCTTTTCACCCACATCGTCTTCTGCCGTCTCAACGCGACCTTGTGGCCCGATTAGCTCGAGCAAAACAACGGATGGGCAGGCCAGCGTGCATAGAGCACTCTTTTTGAGGCAGGCGTTTTTTTCACCCATCCGTAGCCCAGATGGAGATAGAGGCATTCATTCAGACACCCGTTCCAACGAACTTTGGGACAAGTCCAAGCAAGGAATTGCTGATGGGGATGTCATGATGTCTTCATCTCCCTTGGCAAATTTTTCAGGGTCTTCGCACTTACCAAAAGCACGTCCTGTAGATGGTGCAGCCATCGCAGTTACGTCAGAGTTTGCTCCATCAAATCCAGGCCGTGATGAGTTAGAAATTAAACGGTTGCTACCCAACGTGAAATCGAGCTCAGAAACGCCTTTCTTTAATCCGGCGTTTCCTCGTTTCAGTACCGGAGAGAATTATATGGGATCGTCTTACATGAGGGATGAAGTGGACGCGGCGGCACCGAACATTACCTTAAGGCGTTACATTTTGAGCCGACCTAAACCAGCAGTCCGCGGGCGAGGACTGTATCGAAGACTTTACTTCATGCTTATATCTTTGGTTCTACTTCCTTTTATCTTCATCGCATTGCTCTTTGGGTTGCACTACTGGGCAAGCACGAATGTGGCAGAAGAGCTTCATCATTATGCAGGTGCTAGCTTGTCCGATGATTCTTTTTGTGACCGAAATTTTTTGGAGCTGCAGCACCGTCAAATTGGCCCAATCTCAAAGGAGGGTTTTATATGCGTAATGGGAATTTTGTTAGCTCTAATCATCATTGTGATTGGGGGTGCATTTATTCTGTGGTTATTTTCTTGGCGTTGTGTGATTTTAACTTATTTAAAGACGCTTGAATTTATCCGTCGCGCAGCGCCAATGTTGACGCAGATTGAGCCACTCGGACCGGAGCAGTTGGCGGGGGCTCCAAAACCCGTTCCATCGTTTTTCTTTTGGCACTGTAACAGAGGGGAGAATAATAAAAAAGAAGTGCTCTCTCAAGGGATAGTCGAAAAAGTCGTACTGTTGGGGAATACTCTGAATGAACTCAAAAAATACATTCCAAGCACGGTGCAGAGTGATGTCATATCGGCTGTTTTGGCTGGTCACAGCCTCGACAGCTCAACTGCCGTGTCTACCATGGAAAGAAAAGGCCGCCGCATCTCAGGGCCCTCCCCACCACAAGAAGATGTTCTTGCAGCTGCTGGAGACTTAAATCCTCTTCAAATAAAGGTCCAAGCACATTTGCCTCTCTATGTGAAAAAAAAAGCGGCGACCTTTACCGGTGGGCTTCGCCACTCTCATGGGAGTGGAAACAACTTTGGTTTTACGCAAACAGCGGGGCAGAGGGGAAGTAGTAACAAATTGAGTCCCCCTCACCGGCGGTTTATTTGTCCCGCAGGAAGTTTATCAAGCCTGATTCTTTCCACGAGTAGCAGCGTGACATTGACGGCTGAGAATGACCGTGCCCTCCAGTCTGTGGGGAATCGTGGGGAATGCGCCGTTTCTGAGGCTGCTGAAACGCGAATTACAATGCTGAATGACTACGGTTTTTCGCTTCAGCAAACAACTTTTCTGGTTTGTCGTTTATTTTTACCAAAACTTGAGCTGAATTCTGACGCTTCTGCAATAAGAGACTCTGTAAATCAAGTGCGGGAGATGTCACAACGATTTCTACGGATTGTTTTGCGTGTGGCGAAGGAAGAAAACGGCTTTTCATTTAATATTTGCCTGGATTCTGTCATTGTAGTCTTTTACACTCCATCCGGTACCAATTGTGTTAATTTGTTTCAACCTCGTAATTGTGCCTTGCGGCTAGTGTCAGAACTGTCTAAGCTTGAATCCGAGTGGGCGGCTGCTTCATCTACACCATTGAATTGGGGCATTGCGATGCATATGAGTTTGCTTATGATTGGTGTAAGCGATATTGGGTCTCACCGTTTTGCGTATTTATATGGGGAAGAGCTTCAATTGGCATACCGTGTGGCGGAGCTGTGCATGATTCTGCACTGCCCGTTGATTATGCTTCAGTCGTGCTATGATCTCTTTCGTGTTTGCATGATGGCTGTGCCGGTGGATGTCATCTGCAGGGAGACGATTCGTGGGAAGGATCGCATCTATCTGTATGAGCTCAAAATACCAGAGGAGGGAGAAGACCTTGACACCAAACGGGAATACTACAAGCCGTTAACGGTGGCCTTTGGGTTAATGTGTGGAAGGCAGTTTGCAGACGCCGCACAAAAACTGGCTGGAATTGTGGAAATGGACCACAACGTGAGCCGCCTATATCGTCTATGTGAGTACTTCCTCCAGATGCAGGAAAAGGGAACGATTAATACAATTCTCTCTCCCACAGAGAACTACGTGCGTAAGGAACCGCGTTGGGAGCCTCTGGAATCAAAGGCGGTGAAGTTTCTGGATAAATATTGTGTGCGGGAGAAACAGCAGTGTATACATCGCCGCCGTGAAGTTTCTGGGAACAATGAGGGCAACGAAGAAAATGGTACGCGAGATTATCACGCGGCTCGTTTTTTTGAGGATGGGCACGAAGTAAATGGCTTAAGGGGTGAAAAATTCAGTGAGACGCACGTCCGTACACCCAGTGTGCGTTGTGACGACATCACTGAAGCCGACGATTTCCTTTACTCGACTAATACCCCTTCAGAACTCAATCCCAGCTTTGCCGTCCCCATGTCACCGGTCATTGCCACTCATGACACTGAGGTTAAACGAACCTCGACAATACCACTTCAGTCAATATGTAATCCTGGTGAACCACAGCAGGTCCGCGTTCGCTATATTTCTCGCTCAACAGCAGCGTCTGTCACTTTTCCTGAGGTGGATTCTGGCAACAATGATGTTCCCCATCACTGGACAGATGTTCGTAATCTCCAAGAGAGCAGCAAGAACGATGGTGGAAATGAGGGAAGTAAATACGTGTTTGACGTTTATGAGCCTCTGGGTCGTGGAACCTTTAGCACGGTTTACCGCGGTCTTCACCCGAATGGCAACATTGTTGCTGTAAAGAAATACCCATTCCGTGACAGGGGTGAAAATAACTCGTGGGCCCAAAGTGTACGCTTTGAGATTGAAGTACTGTCTAGCTTGCGTCACAAAAATGTTGTTCGTTATATAAGTAGCTTTTTTCAGGACGAGTATTTATATATCATTGCTGAGTTTGTCTCTGGGGGCTCTCTTTCTGCGATTGTGAGGACATTTCGACGTCTTCCATATAACACCATTAGACGGTATACGGGTGATATTCTTCGTGGACTTCAGTATTTGCACAAGCGTCAGGTTGTTCATCGGGACATTTCCCCAAACAATGTACTAGTAAACATTGATGGCGTGTGTAAGCTCAGTAACTTTGGTGGGGCTGTGGTGTTTGCCATGCAGCGAAACGAGTTTTGTTCTAACTCCTCAAATGCGACTACCGCAGGCATTTTTGCTCCTCGAAGTGTGGTGCACGCATCGGATGACTCGGGTTCTGCGACGGGCACTGTGATACTCAAGAACTGCTTTGGAACACCCGCGTGCATGTCGCCAGAGGCCTGTTCGGGAGTTGTTGACCCGAAAAACGACATATGGGCACTGGGTATCACGCTTTGCTTTTGCTTCTCAGGCCGCTTCCCGTGGCCCGAGGAGGAGCTGAATGATGTCAATGCTTTTGTTGACAAGGTCCGTCGTGGTGTCCTCAGCCCTCAGGTGCCGTTCGACGTGATGGACTCTCAGGCCGCAGACTTTATTAGCCTATGTCTCCGAAGGAACACGAGTTCTCGTCCATCAGCGACGGAATTATTGTTTCATCTCTTTGTGGTAGGCTGAACCCGACTGCCCAAATATGTAGTTGGAGGGAATTTAGCTCTATCCACAGTTGAAGAGAGGAGCAGAGCCCTTTATGCCTTATTTTTCTCTCTGCGCTTTCCTTACGGCCACACAAACAGATTAATATATATATATATATATTAATATATCATTTTGGTAGTACATGGCGAGTGTAGATTAACTCAAAAATGAAAACAAACAAACAAAAAAAAAGGGAGAGAAGGTTTGATTGAGGAATTTTCAGCTTAATTTTTTTTTTTTTGAAGGGAGGAGGGAATATAAATGTAGAATCATATTCTCCCCTTGCCATTTTGGCCGTGTGCCTTATTTGCTTGCGCATTCATTCATTTTTTTTTTTGATTTTCTTTGCGTTGTTTCAGTTTGTGTTTTTGGTTTACAATATTGACATAAAAGTTTGATGGTATCATTTTACACTCTTTAATGTACCGAGGGTGGTGCCGCATGTATACGTCTCATTATTATTATTATTATTATTCTCCCCATTTTACTTTTTTATTGACTATTACTTTGATGTTGTTCTTCATTTGTGAGCATTCCAAGACTTACTGTACAGTGCACATTGGTCCGCCTTGCTGTGGTCCCCCGCACACATTTAGTTGAAGTGAGTCACTAGGGAAAAATAAAATAAAATAAAATAAAATGTCTGGGATGCCCCCTTTTATATGTTTTATTATTATTATTATTATTATTGTCTAATGTAGGCGTTCACTTCTTTGTAGTTGTTTTGACAGTTTTTTTCTTTTTTTTTTTTTTTTTTGATGGTTTGCGTATTTGTGTTGCGACGATTTTATTTTACAGACTTTTCCCTTTTGTTGTTTTCCCCCTTTCTTTTATCTTTTTTGGTGGCACTTCAGCGATGCATAGACGCATTTGTACGGATAGCCGCCAGGGAATACTTCTGGTGTGCGGAATAAGTGAAACGAATTCTTTTTTTTTTTTGATTTTTGATTTTTGATTTTTGGTGCGAATGGGCTGCCGCAGTTGTGAATCCGCGGCAGTGAGCATTTCTTTGCTTCTTTGATGCTTTCACCGCCTGTCTGTGGCGAAGAAACGCCAGAAGAAAAGAAGAGGATGCATGACGAAAATTAAAAGGGGGGGGAAATTAAAATGTAGTACTTTTGTCTCTGTGGGAACGTCTTGCAGAAGAACGCAGGCACATAACCCCGGTAGACGCAAAGGAAGAAGTGTGGGAGATGTATTTCCCCGTTCACTAATCGGTTCCTTACTCGTCTTGCCCCGGGAGTTTATTGTGGCGTGGCTTCTCGTCGAGTTTCTTTTTTTTTTTTTTTTGGTTTATTTTCATTGAGAAGTTTGCCTGTTGTTGTTTCCTTGTTTGCTTTTGTTTTTGCTTCTCTTTTCTTTCTTGGAGTTCTTTTTTCCTATTTGTCTGTGTGCATATATTTTTCTTCTATTGGCGCACTTGTTTCCATTATGTTTTGTTTGTTTGTTGTCTTTTTTCTTTTTTTTTTTTTTAATACAGTCCGGTTGGGGGGGGGGGGGGGGGGTGTCTTTTCTACTTTTACTGTTTCTTCGTACGCATATGTCAATTTGTATATTTCTAATGTGAATGCCTGTCAAGTAAATCCTGCGGTGATGGCGTCCGTTTGGGGCAACAGCTGTGATTTTTGTGCCTACATGCATACTGCCTTGTGCCCATTCACACCACTCCTTTTTTCTTTTCATTACGAACGCAAAAAGAACAACAACAACAACAAAAAAAAGGATTTGGTTTTATTTTATTCTATTTATTTATTTATTATTTTATTTTTTGTGGGGGGGGAAGTTAAAAAAAGAGCCACATGCAAAATCATTCGAATAAAGCAGCCTTCAAGCCTTTTCTGCTTTCCGGAAAGGTGATACACGGCTATGGTCGGGGCGGCACACAGCTCGGGTTCCCCACAGCCAACCTGGAGCTTGATGACAACGTCAGGGCGCAGTTGAATCCGTACAAGAACCTTGTGTTGTTTGGGTGGGGAAGCGTGATCGCAATTCCTGGGAAGGAAAACTGTGGTGAGGGGCCATATCCCTTTTCCATGTCTATTGGCTACAACCCACACTTCCATGGGCTGGATCTCACAGCAGAGGTGTATTTTATACATGAATTTGCTGAGGATTTCTACGGTGCTGTTGTGAATATTCTCGTCCTGGGAGATCTTCGCGAGATGGGGGCCTTTGTCTCCCTGGAAGCACTTGTGGATGCCATCAAGGATGATGTCCGTAAAACGGAAGAGGCGCTGCAAAAGCCCGAGCTTAAGCGATTGAAGCAGCACTCGTTTCTGGCGCCATCCCTCGCACCGTCCGAGGAGTTGCCGCAATTCGAGCTGGCGGTGGTTTGAATGACGCATCCATTCGGAAAGAAAATACATGAAGAAAAATTATCTCAGTGAAAATTCTGATATGATAGCCGGCAGGGTGAACCATTAATTTTTTTGTTTGTTTTGAAATTATATTATTTTCTGAAGTAAATGAGGGAAAGAGAGGGGGAGAGGGGAGAGGAGAGTAGCAGCAGCTGACAGTTCTGGCCGTTTTTCTTGTTGTTAACTTGTTTCCTTCCGGTGGGGGATGGGAGCAAATTTTTCCAACCTTTTGGGCAGAGGAGAAGGAGCAAACGCGAGTGGGCATCAAGTGTGTGACGGAAGGGGCTGCGAGTTGGGTCCCGCGCATGGCGCTCTCTTTATTGTACTGATGCATTTATTATTATTTTTTTTTTTTATGTGCTTTGGAGGCCCAAATACAGCACCACAATGTGTTTGGTACAAGAGGAAAATGAAAGGGAGGGAAACAAGCAGAAAAGTGCATTTTTTTTTTTTATTATTATGATGATTAACACTATTTTATGTTTTTTGTGTTGCTCTCCGGGAAATGGAGAGAAGAAAAATGAGGGGAAAAAATGCGCGTGTTGATTATTTTTGGTGTACTTTTGTTTTTCTTTGTTTTTTGTTTTAAATGATTTTGTTTTTTTGGTTTTTGATTGCATTCTTCTCTCTTGCAGGGCAACGTCATGTATCGTTCCAGCGGGGAGCTGCGCAAATACGCGCAGTGTGTATTTGCCCTCTACTGTTTGGATGATGGCCTCTCTATCTCCCGTTTCCGGCTTGCTTGGTACGTGCTCTGGGGAAAGTGGCCAGAGGAGAGCGTTGTGCAAATGCTGTTTGACAAAAAAGACAAGAGTACAGGTGGGAATGAGGACCCTACCGGAGAAGAGGGTGGGATTGTAGGAAGTGGCGGTCTTGCGGAGAAAGATAAGCATCATGACGGTGGCACACCTCTGGCACAGAGTTTTCCTTTCTCCGCTCTTCGAAGACGAATTAATGAGAAGGAATTTGTCCGATTTGCCGTCACATATCATGATACAATGGGGGCGGACGCAGTCGGATTTGGTGTTACAGAGGAGGATGGAGAATATGCCACGGTAGACATGCAGAGTGCTTTCTCTGGTGTTGTGCGAGCCCGTCATTGGCTGCAGTTTCACGCCCTTGCCGGGTCAAAGGGGTATGTGACGCTTGACGACCTAATCGCCACGGAGAAGGTAGATTGGCTTTATCCGCCCATGAGCGGAGGATCAGCGAGTGGTCTTATGGTGGAGCAGGCAGGGGATGATTCATCGACGATGCCACAGGACGATGTTGATAGACGATTGGCGGTGTTGTCGCATGTGTTTGCCATTATTGACGGCGACCACGATGGTAAACTTAATTTTGAGGATGTGACGCGTCACCTTGCCAAAACTGCGTGAGACAATATACATATAGGAGTTTACCACATTTCTCTCAGTGTGTGTATGCGAATTGAATTCTTTGATCATTATATTGTACTGCCTTCTTTTTTTTTTTCTTTCTTTGGATTGTTCTTTACCAAACATGTTTTTTGTTTTGTTGTGGTTATTGTCTTTTATATCTGCGTGCTTTCTGTGTTCATTTTGTTGTTTGGATGGTTGTTTCACGTTCATTTTGCAGAAGAGGTGTAGGGGTGGGGGCTGTTGTTGTTGCTGATGCCAGAGTTTGGCACCCAAGTGTACTGGCACAACATCCCGGCCTGTCCGCCTCCGTGGAAAGACGAGGAGGAACGCGCACGCACGTGGCGCATTAGCCAACACATCGTCGGGGCTATCAGCGACCAGCGCCACCTGTTGGAGCCGCCTCGGGCGGAGATCTTGGCAAAACGTCTTCTGGGGCGTTTTGCCCCAAAACGGGTGCATCGCTACTGGGGCATTGTTTGCGAGCCATATCTTTCTCCGCTAAATGGACTCAACATGGTGATGAGCGAGCTGCAGGTGCGCCCCATCGCGATTGAAGAGGCGAAGGAGGCCGTCAACGTTGTGTGTGAAGAGTACAACGCCATGACGCAGCAGCAGCAAAAAAGTAGACAGTCAGGGATACTCTCGCAAGGAGGGGTGAAGACGGAGATATCGACACAACAGAGCAACACCGCGGCGATGGATCTGCGCGAGGCCCCATTGCTCCAGGTAGTAAAAATATTATGCGCCTCACGCGGGCTGGAGGTGTCGTCTTTTAGTAGGGCGGAGCTTCGAAGCAAGGGCCGTCTTGGTGTAGCGGATTTGTTGCCTCGAAGACGTGTTATTATGGCCTTTGACCGCAGCAAACCGAAGTTTGTCTTTGCAACAGCAGTGTCCGTGAAGAAGAAGAAGGACGCGGAAAAATCGACGGTGTGCTACATCCAGCTTGTCGCGCCGACCTCAAATCCCGTTCCGTGGCGTCAGCTTCTAAAAAGGGAAATCCCATATCTTCCGCCGAACGAATGTGTGGTGGTGGCGGTTCAGCGGCATCACGACGACGAAGAATACGATGATGATGATGGTGATGAAAAAAAAAGCGGCGATGATGGGCCATACTTGGGCGATGCAAACGTGAGAAGTGAAGTTCTGTTGGGGGGCAATGAGAGTGACAAGGACGATCTGGGGGAAGAAGGGGACGCACAGCCGCGGCAGCAGCACGAAGGAGAAAACCCCCAAAAGAGACACAAGTGTGGGTATGAAGATAAAATTGATTTCTCAGACACGAGCGAAGTGAGTGAAAGTAGTGGCAACACAACGGCGTCTTGCCGGAGCGACGAGGCAAAAAGAAAGAAATTTGTCGGTCGGGAACCCATCTTTACCGCGGAGGAGAAGCTGCAAAATGACCCGCTCTTTGAGACACCTGTTGCGGTTCTTCGAAAATTGCCTCGGAAAACGCGGGGGGTGCATGATTGGATCCAGCGTCTAATCAACCCAGTGGCCCGAAAGCGGCTTTATGCCATTAACTATTGACCCGGTACTCCCCATCGCTACTCATACCGCCAACAGCGCAAGAGCAGCGGTGTCTGCTGAGAATGGGCCCACACACTTACACACATACGCAACTAAACCACGAAACGCACAGGCATTTTCAGCAAGGGCCATTTGAGAATGTTACCTCCATCTGGCAGCGGCAATGTTCTTTCAATTTTGTGTGTCTGCGTTTATTCCTTCTGGGTTGTGCAATGATAATTTTGATTTCTTGTCCTTTTGCTTTTTTCTTTTCTACTACTTTACCCGCACGCACACACACACACAAAAAAAAAAAAAGGGGGGGCGCGCTTGAAACCATTTGGTTATCAGACACGAGCTGATGGCGGCCTGTGAGTCGGCTTCCCACGCACCGGGAGACGAGCCCATTGTCGTTGGCGGCCACAAGGGAGTTATTCAACGAGGACCGAAGGCTCCCAACGACTCCGCGACCATTACGAAAAAGTCTACCGGGTGGGAAGTGCTCATGTACCTTGGTATGGCACTTCGAATTGACGAGACGATGTGTGAACTGGCTGAAATGGCACCAACACTTGTGGCAATTTTATCTCCTGAGGAAGAAAATTCGGGCGTTTGGATAACTGTGGAAAAGGAAGAAAATAGGCCTCTTTTGGAAGCATTTCACGAAGAACTGCGAAAGGCAAGTGTTCATACCCATGGCTACAGTGAAGTTATGGACACAGCTCGCTGGTCGGTCTGTTTGATCGATGTAACAGACGGGATGCTCCTACCATGTGTGGCAGACATTAAAATTGGGTACATCCGTCACTCTCCACACACGCCGCCGGAGAAGATGGCCCGCATAAAAAAAAAGCGGCTGATCCAGCCATTAGCCATTCGTCTGTGTGGTGCTCTTCACTACTTCTACCGCACCATATCGAACGAGCAATGCATTGAAAGGGAAACGTGCGAAAAAGACATAGGATATCTCTTACATACAGAAGAAGATCACCGACGCTGTTTGCGGGCCTTTTTTTCCTCTGCAGTCAGCATGAAACAAGAAGGGTCGGGGAATAAATGCGGAGAAAGTGAGGTCTTGTCCGCGCGGTTGAAAGCGTGCTGTCGGCACGTTGAGAAACTGCTCTCTTTTTTTACCAGCTCAGTGGGCTGTGCATTATTGGAAAGGACCGCTTTTGTTTCAACATCTCTTTTACTGCTTTACGATGCCGTCAGCCGCGTAAGTGACAACGTTGGCAACAACGACGCTGCTGATGTGCGCGTCTACCTGATTGACTATGCTCGAGTAAGTGATCGACGCCTGAACTTTGCGGAAGAAAATATTGGTTTTCTACGTGGTTTAGAAAATTTTCTTTTTCTTATTTCGTGAAGGAGAAGCCTTTGGTCTGGGAAGTGTTCACGCCGAGAGGTGGTGGGGTATTGGCTCTGGACCTGAAAGTTTTTTTTTTGGCACCCCTTGCCACTCTCCTTTGTTGGGGTCATTGTTTCCTATTGATATCACATCAACTGCAATCGCATGGACGAATCGGAGTCCTAAGTGCATATATTTCTTGCTGGTGATTGGTGTAGCTGCTGCTGTTCATTTTTTTTTCTTTTATTTTTAGTCCCTTCCTCTTCTTTTTAATGTTTGCATGAGTTTTTGCTCTTGTTGTTGTTTTCCCTCCCTACAGACATACACACACACACACATGCACATTGTTGGGTGTGTGTATTGTGTGTGTGTTTCATTACAAAGGGAGTGCGTTTGTAATTGTCGGAACGTCTGCGCAACGGCGTAACAGTGAGGCCTGTCTTTTATTTTTCCATTTCTCATTTTACTGCAATAAATTCAATTCTTTTGGGTGTTCTTTGCATTCTGCTGATTTATCTCTTTTTATTATTCCTATTTCTTGCCTTTTTGGTGGCGTGTGTGTCCCTGTCTTCTGCAGGGAAGACGGTAAGCTAGAGTAGTTCTCTCAAAAAAGCCATGCAGAGAAAGCTCCCCCGCAGTGAGAGCCCGCGGAATGATGCCCCCTCAACAATGTCCATTGCGACAACAACGCACGGCGGGCTGACACGCTCGACGGGACTGAGTTCCCTGTCCCTCGAGGAGGAAGACTCCCGTCAGCGTGGGCCGCTGCAAGCACGCTCTCAGCACGTGATGACATTTGTTGGTGAGCTGCCATGGGTCCCACACGATGACACCGATAATGAACAGCCACCGCGAGAGGAGGACGTAGTAACAGGAAATATTCCAAGACAAATTTTTATTGAGGATGAAAACGTCTTCTTGAGCCGCTTTGTGCGCCCCGCGCGGTTGGTGGCACCTGCGCCAGCCGAGGGGCAAACCTCGGGGACAAATTCAGGCGGTAGGGATGGGCGATCAAGGCGCCGCTGGCTTCCTCTTCGTATGGATTACATGGGATAGAGATGCTGCTGGGAAGGCCGCCGCCTTGAGCGTTTCTCCCTCCATGTATATTTTTATCAGTTACTTTGAGTGTTTGCTTCTTTTGACATTAACGTCATTTCCCTGCGCAGAAGTCTTAAGAGGGCCCTGTGATCATGACAAGATATTCAACTAGAGTGGGAAGCACAACTGAGTCTGTTGGTGCTCCTTCTTGCGTCTTTTTTCTTTTCCTTATTGAGTGTATTTTAGATCAAACTAAAAAAAATAAAAAATAAATTAAATTAAAGTGAAGTCATCAGTTGCCGCATCGATGCGTACAAGTGAGGTGGTGGGAGGGAAAAGGGGGAAAAATGAGAGGAGGAGGAGGGGAGGAAGTGAGAAAAATTAAAAACAAAAATTTATACATGTGCGGCCTTTATTTTATTTTGTCTTATTTTATTTTTAATTCCTCGAAATGGCAAAATGGAGGGGTGCTCCGGCTGTCTTTAGAGCTCTTGCGGTCTTTTATTTATTATTTATTTATTTATTTATTTATTTTACCCTTTTTTTTCCCCCTACACGCATTTACTTGTTTTCACGCAATAGTTTACATGGGTGATTTAATTTACCGAAGATGCCCCGAGTTGATAGAGAGTACATCACTGTTATTGTTGTTGGTGTTGGTGTTGTTGTTATGTCCCCTTATGCTTCGGTTCTATGCTTTTGTTTATTGGCACCTTGTGTATATAAGTATATAAATATATTTTTTTATATATAATTTATACATTTGGGTGCCAACAACCGAATTGTTCTACGCAACTTTTTTTTGATTTTTTATCGGAAGCCACTATCGGAGTGATCATTGGTGCTGCGTCCTGAAAGAAGGGTTGGGCTGCTCACGGAAATTATTATTATTATTACTATTATTATTTCTTTCTTCTTCTTCTCTGTGAGACGAACAATAGAGGCCACGCAAAGGGTGGGGGGAAATTGTCCGGTGAATTATTGTGAGAAAACGCCGTTGAGATAAGTCGTACCATTCCTGTTTGTTTGTTTGTTTGTTTTTTTGAGGGGGGCGGGAGGGCGTGTGTGGAACTCGTTTTTCTTCTGGTGTGCGATGTCTTTTTTGTTTTTCTTTTCTCCTTTTTTTTTTTTTTTTTTTTTGCTTTCTTTCTGGCGTTGTCGTGGGATGTCTTCATTCTCGTCATGACGGGCTCACACGCGTGCACGGTGTGGAAAATATACATAAAATATGTATTTATATAATTTTAAAGGGGGACAGGCGGCGGGTGGTGATTGATTAAAGGCATGGCGGCATCGAGTACATCCAACGTCACGGGGAGGCGACGTTCCGGCCTTAGGAGTTCGACGGGCCGTTTAAGCAGCCACTCCTCCATGGCGATGATCCCGGAGATGGAGGTGGACCCGCGCGTTGCGAATCTCTCCCGCGTGGCAGTCTACATTGATGTTCCGGACGACACTCTGAAGAAGATCATCGACATCGCTGTGGAGGCGTACAAGAGGTTTGTGCTGGCTCCCACACGCAACACGTGGAGGAAGGAGGAGGGCGCGAGAAAAGAACTGGAGCGCGAATTGGAGCGCACGGCGCTGAGGGACATTGCGGAAATGATAAAGAAGAATGTGGAGAGCACTTTTGGAGGGACGTGGCATGTTATTTACGGGCGTTCGTTTGCCACGTACGTGACTCACCAAACACGTTCCTTCTGTCACTTTCAGCTGGATGGCGCCAATGTTGTCGTCTGGCGCCATGGTGGTTAGCTGCAATATGATCTCTTGTTGTTTTCGTTTTTTTGTCGCTGTTTTCATTTTTGCCTCATGTAGATAGATACAAATGCTGCTTTCCTCCTTTTCTTCTTACAAACCGTTTTAGATTTTTCTTTTTCTTTTTTTTTTTCTTCAGCTGCTGTTGTTGCGCAGGGTCCAGTGGTGTTGTCAGCTGATTTCTTTGCGAGGAGTGAAGAAAAAGAGTGTCAGATGGAAAGAGGATTGCGTGAGAAGAGGAGAAGTCGGCCCTCAACTCCTGTTCTCCGTCGCTTCTCGTAACATGCATGTATGCATATGTTGGGGCTCGTGTTTCTTGTCCGGTGTTCTCTATGTCTCCGTATGTTTTGTGTGGGGGATGCCGTCAGTTGCCATTTTATTTTATTTTTATTTTTATTTTTTGTTACTTGACGTTCTTTTTTTTTTTCCCCTTTTTGTTGTGTTTGTGTGGTTTGGATTGTGAAGGAAACGATGTGGGCTTTTGACTCACCAGTGGAGAGGGGGATTGTCCTGCGGGCAAAAGATAGCGACAAGTGCAAGATATCGCCGCTACTCGCCGAAAACATTCATGACTTAGAGGCTTTCAAGGAGGAGTTTGCTCCTTATCCGAATGGCATGACGATGGACACTCTGTTCAATGTGTTGTTACGTCACATTGGGAAGAAGCGTGGGGATTCTGATGGTTTTGGCTTATCGCAAAGTAATTGGTTGGCCTCGCGGGGTGAAACGCCTGCGTCACCCCAAATGAGTCCGCGCGGCATAGTGAAGGGAACTGTGCCGAAACGACCTCAAAAAACCTCGATGTTGCCTGCAGGTAGACCCAGTAACTCATTTTCTTCGATGCCGCAAAAGGATGCGCTGGGTGCGCTCAGGGACGGTCTTTACATGTCACCATGGAAGGTGGGTGCGTCGCATCAACACATTTCGGGTTCGTGGACGGATATAAATGCATTTGAGAATTTATTTAACAGGCTTGATAGCGACAGCGATGGGCTTGTCTCCTGGGACGATATCATGCAGCTGGCTGTGGAGGAGGCTACGCAAAGTATTACCATCATCACAGAAGAAATGCGTTCATACTCTCTTTCCCGCATTTCATCTCAGGAGAAGCTCGTCCGGCTGGTCCATACACTTCCAGACCACAAGTCCGTGTTTGCCATCGCATCGCGGGCAGACCCGCTTTTGTTGGTGAGCAAGGAGGACTTTAGTGTGGTGAAACAGTTTAGGTTGAAGGATTTTGACAACAATCACCCTCAACTTATTGAATACTTACCAGTTCCAGATGTTTTGCTTGCCTATTCAGTAAATGACAAGACGTTGCGTGGTTGGTGGAATGCCGTTTCGGTGCATCGTATGGGAACGCTTTCCCCATTGTATTTGGGAGATACAATTCGAAGGATTCGTACGCAGCCATGGAAATTCCCGTACTCTTTTTTTACATGCAGCAGCAATGGAAAAATTGTGCATTGGCAACTGCCCAAGCAACGGTCACTACTGGAAATATCACGGGTACACGCGTATGAGGTACTCCATAAGCCTGACACCGGCGGCATCACGGACTTTACGGTTACGGATGAGTGGATTTTTTCTACAGGGTTTGATTGCCGCCTCTTTTCTACAAACATTGAAACTGGTCGTTCCATTCTTGTTGGACTTCCCCATGACACGATTAAGTTTCTAGAATACAATCGAAATTGCGACTGTCTGCCAACCGTGTCTTATTCAAATCGTGTTTTACTCTGGGATGTGCGATCCTCATCAGCGACTCCCGGGGCTACCTTCAGAGACGAGGGGGGAAGGCCACACACAGCAGATGTAATTGGACTTTGCAATGCACCGGGTCTGCCACAAATAATAACCTGCGATAGTGTGGGGATGATGAAAGTATGGGACCTACGTGCACTTCGGTGCTCTCAGACTTTATATGCCGACGGAACGGCTATGGAGGATATGAATGTAGATTATATGTATAGCGATCAGGCAATTAACAGAAGCGATCGGTCTTTTTTGTTTCAAGCCTTGCGCAAAGGTGATCCTAAATGCATTCGTTCCATTGGGTTTTTTCCGAATACGCAGGAAGTTGTGTGTAGCTCACCTGAAGCCATTTACTGTCTTCGATACAATCATCGCCGCGATGGTCACACCGCTGACGTTGAGGTTGTGCACGCCGCTTTTTATGATCCATACCACAGCACGATCTTTCTTCAGGGATCGGCGCGTACATCTGTTTGGGACGCCGTAGATGGCTTTCGGAGACGTTTATTTGATCGTTCGTCTCATATAAAAGTACCTTATTGGCAGCAAGAAGTTATTGCTGTCTGCCTGGACTATCCACGGAACCGTCTCTTCTTTGCCATAGCGGGGGGTACGGTAGAAGTTCGCTCGTCTAAAAATTTTGTTCTGTTGGAAACCTTTGCAATGCATGAAGTCAATGCACAGGAAATGCTCTTTAGTATGAAACACAAAATGCTTGTGAGCATTTCCAACAATGGTTTTCTTACCCTTCTTCATGAAGAGGATTCGGGGCATTCTATTTCTAATATTGGGCTCTCTAGCCTTCCATTGCGTGCCCTGTCATTGAGTGATGAAGCGGGCCTAATTGCGTGTTGCGATGAAAATACTCTCTTTTTTGTTGATTACAAGCAGACAAAATTGACTTTTTTTTCGGTTAAATTGAATGTCCCTGTGCGTACAGCGGCTATGCTCGGCACATACCCCGTTTTAGCTACGAGTAGCGATAATGGTGAGCTCACCCTTTGGTCGACACCGCCTGCGGAAGAAAGTTATACGCCATTGGTCTCTTTCTTTGTTGGACAGTCTTCACCGAGCTTTTGGCGAAGGAAAACGGTCAAAAATTTTTCGTTTTCCCGTTCTTCGCCGGATCGCCGGGAGCAGGCAGAGGTTTCCTCATTCAGCGCCCCTTTGAGGTCAGCAACCGAACCCGACGAAGAATATCCCCATGGCGAGTCGTCAGATTTCTCAGAAAAACTGGGGGAGAAAGAAAAGCAAAAGATGGGCTTTACAAACCTGCTTGAGGCTATTGCTGCAGATGAAAAGGCGAGTGGGGCATCCACTGCGATCTCATTTGATGATGTTTTGCACCGTCTATTTGTGGCGGATCAAAAAGGAAGTTTGTTTATATACTCATGTTGTTCTTTTCTTCAGGGATTTGGCTTTCGGCGCTGCTCCTTTGAGAATCGAAGTAGATATGCCCTTTGGGGCATGAATGACGATTTTAGGACGTTGCACTTTCCGATTTTACTTCAAACACTTTCGCCGCATAATGGTTATATAACTTTTATGAAATGGTTTCCCGGCTTGAGTGCTGTCGTTACGTGTGGTAGTGACCACTTGGTAAAGATCCTTGATTATGACGGCAAAGAGACGGGACAGCTTCGTCTGGATCGGCTCCCACCGAGAAGCCTCTTGGATGAAACGGATGGAACCGAGATTAAAGCGTATGCGGAAAAAACACCTCAGTGTTTTACGATTCCTTTTTCTTTACCTCCCCCTTTCCCGGCCTTGAAAAGGTGCAAGGAATGCGCCCGAATTGAGGTGGAACTGAAGGATAGTCGAAATTCCTCTTTGAAAGAGTTAGCGAAAGAGTCACTGCCGCTGCCTGCTGCAAACATGTATCAATGTGGTAGTCTCGCTCCATTGGGTGAGACGGAGTTGACTTTGCCGCAGCCCAGTGCCTTTGTTGGGGTGGCATCTGAGGAGGTTAATTGCAACCGCGGCAAGGAGACGCCGTCGCCCCCTTCTGTCAGCCTCCGGTTAGTGGCACTCGAAGAAAAAAAGCAATGGCGCCCACGGCGGGAAGTGCCCTGTCTCTTTCGTGAGAGGAAACACGCTTCCGCAACGACTAGAACAAGTTTTTCTGGGGAAACAGTATCTGGCCGAGGATCGGCTCGACAAATGTGCCGCACGACACCTTTGCGGGGGATGAGTTCCACGATTGAATGGTGGAGGCCCAGGAGTGTGCCGACTCCCCCTTCCTTTAAGACGAAGCAGCACCGAGGGGCCCCCACGTGCTCAAATGATAATAATGATAATAATAATAACGGTAATAGTGGTAGTAGTGGTATTGAGGGCGCACGGGATGATTTCAAAAACTTTAGTGGGGAGTTATGTTTCTCCGGCAATTCCGTGTCACCGCCGAGCCCAGTCTCCTTGAAACTACCGGAGGGCTTATCGGCGGAAGGTCCAAAACCCGTTCTGGACTCATCACAGAATATTTTGCGGGAGAGTGGGGGAAGATTTCTGAAGAGGAATCAAAAGAAGAAGTGGACATTTATAAGGACGAACCGTTCCGAGGACGAAACGAGGGCTGAGATGACGGAACAATCCGGATCTTTTTTGGATAGCGTTTTACGCACCTATGAGAAAGAGCTGCGCCGTTGTGTTCGTGGCCGGAATGTGATGAAAAGGCTTTGTGGTAATTCACCCACGGCAAGGATGACCATTTCAAGTCCAACCGGTCATGGTGCCAGCCGATGAGAAAATATCTGTATATATTTGCGTTTATATTTTATATTTCTATTGGTGTTTATTTGTTTTTTGTTTTTTGTCATTTTTTTTTTTTCCTTTCCTTTTATTTTTCGTTCTTGTTTCTGATTTTTGTTTTTGTTTTGTTTTGTTTTTAGAATTCATGTGATTACTTTTGCTGGGAAAAGTGGGGGCACGTGTAGGGAGGAGTCCCGATGTAAAACTTTGTCACTTGTAGAAGTATATTGTATTTTGAGGGTAAATTTTCACCCAAATCTGCGGTTATCGGCTGGTTTTTTTTTTTTTTTTTTCTGTATATATTATATTATATATATATATATGCCTTTTGCTGTTTCTGTGCGACTTTATGGGAGAATTATTTTTTTTTTCCCTTTTTTTTTTCTTTTGGATGACCGGGATGCTCTCCCTTCTTGATGCCATGTCTCTTTGGAAATAGTCGTCGGGGTGTAGGGAAGTAGTCAGGCATTAAAACCGGAAGGAGGGGAATTTTGGTGGGAAGTCAAGGAAGAAACAAAGCAAAAGAAAAAAAAAAAAAAAGGTGCGTGAATAAATAGAGAGTGGCGACGAGGACAAACCGGTCAAAAAAGAAAAACTGGCAGGAAATAAAAATGCTGTCTTCTTCTTCTGGTACAAACATGACGCGTTTGATTGTGGGAGGAATTTTCCTGCTTATCTTTGCAGCCTATCGACAAATGAGGCGGGTACCGTCATTAAAGGAAAAGGGGGCCAGTAAGACGCAGTCTCCGAAAGACTTTTCTTCCTCGACGCCACGAGCCGCACAAGCCGTTCCAGTGGAAGTAGTTGTGGAAAAACTCCCAGATGGGTGGTCCGCCGCACCGCCCATTTATTACCCACCTTATTTGGCTGCTATACCATTTTTACATTGTAAGAGTTTCAAAGAAGGTGTAGTATCAGAAAAAAACAATTTTATTGTATGCGATGGGTCTCGCCTGCATGTTGTTCAGGAGCCTAGGGGAACCGAAGAACTTGTGGCATTTTATACGCAGTATATTCAAGATATGCCTATTTTAAAATCGATAGACACCAATGGGGCAGCGGTACGGCCTGTAAAGGAAGTAGGCTTTTCATGTGAGTCTGGATGCTTTACCCATGCCGTTGTCATTCCGGAGGAGGAAATTGTTATTGCTTTTGGTCAAAATGGGCCATACATTTTATCGTTTGTTTTTACAAAGTATTTGACATCACCTCTGATGGCAGAAAACGAAAAAGACACGGTAGAGAAACTGAATTCAGGTGATTTACAAATGTTACTTGATGCGTGCCGCTTGGTGCCTTTGGTAGATGGAGTGCGTCTGCCCGGCACCCCAGTGGGTTCCCAAAGGGGTTGTCTGAGGTTGAAGTATCAGTACGGGGGTCACATGCTCGTGTTTAGCCTTCCCTCCTCTGTATCCGTGCGCACGAATGAGGAAAAGAATCAAAAAGGGAATAAAGGCGCATCTGATGCTCTTTTTGTTCTCGAAGGAGATGTCTTACCGGGGAATAAGATTGTTGTTGGTAGTGCTGCTTTGGACGCAATTGTGAAGGGAACTTCCATCGATGCATTATTCCCGCTTTCCACGCCCGGGTTCCCACCTCTGTCATCGCTTCTCTCTCTGGATGCGGTAGAAGAGTCCGCTTCCCCTATCGCTGATGGAGCCACGGATCATGCGACACGGCCACGCGAAGAGGAAGCAATGAACATTGTATTTTCTCATGAATATCTCGGTGTCAGCTTTTCCGTCAACCCAAAAAACGGTTTTGTTCATGAGCCAATCCTTACGGAAGATCTTCTTTTGCTGTACTACCCGTTGGGTGATGAGGCCCACTACGCTCCGCCACCAGGGCAAATGAGGAACGTCGCACCTCCGCGATTCTCCGTTCGACGCGTGACACAACTTTCGCCGCTATGGGAGAAGTTTGTTTCTACAGAGGATGAGTTGAAGCACAATGTTCTTTTTCACTTTACGGATTGGGCCAAGGAACAAGTTCCGTGTTCACTGTGCGACATTAGCGGATTTAAGGGGATCCAGTTGTTTGAATCTAAGGAAGGGCACAGTTGCCGCTCATACGTGATACCGCGTGCGGACTCCATTTTGCTGGTTCGCTGGGAAACAGAAACAAAGGATTGGGATATGCATTTGCCACTTTTGCAAAAATTTCTTGACACCCTGCATTTGGCCGATCCTTTGGCGTAGTTGAATGGTGCGGAATGAGAAGAGGCAACAAAATAAAAATAAAAATCAACGAAGGGATACGAAGAATGTATTTAAAAATTGCAAAGGGAAAACTGAATGACAAGTTTTCCAGGAAAAAGAAAAGCATATTTACACGCATTACCTTAATTTATGTGTAAAGGTGTGTATATATCCTTTGGGGGGGAACGGCTTTTCGGTATAGAAGGAAATCAAAGGAATGGGTCTTTATTATTATTATTAATACTGTTTGTTTCTTGCCATTCTTATTCTTGGTGTTGCCGATTTTATTTTTGCGCGTGACCGGAAGTTGGTTGGCTGGTAATTTATTGTGGGGGTGCCCAGAGTGTGTGGATGCCTCATTTATTTTTTCGTTGTGTGTGTGTTGGACATTAGTTTGACCTGCCCGAAGATTTATCGCGGAATTTTTATTTGAAACGGATTCACTTTATAAGTTTTTAACTGCCCTTTTGTTTGCGCTGTGTTTTTTGTTGTTGTTTTTTGTTTGTTTTTTATTTTATTTTAATTTTCTTTTGTGTGTGTGAGCGTTGAACTCCGCTGCTGCTCTTCGGGAGGGTAAAAAAATAGGGTTTTGGGAGGAAAAGCGGTGGAAACTTTTTTTGTCCATATTTTTTTTGTTTTGTTTTTCTCTCTCTCTCTCTCTTTGTGTGTGTGTCTGCTGACAGCACGTCTTGTAAAATGTTTAGAACTTACAATGGTATCCGCTTCTTCCGTGTCTTTTTGACGCTGTGGATCACTTACGCCGCCTACACCATGGTTCGTCGACCCCTGACTGTGGCACGTGCCGATATTCAACGGGAGACGGGGTTTACTTCGGCAGAAACATCGCTTGTAGATACGATGTTTGTTTTTTCATATGCACTTGGGCAGTTTTTTTATGGACGCCTAAAGGGTCGTTGTGGGAATAAAGAAATGTTATTGCGTGGCATTCTCTTGTCTAGCGCGGCCTTAGCAATTCTGGGACTATCATCCAGGCTTCCGGCCTTTTGTGTGGCGTGGGCCATAAACGGTATTGCACAGGCAGCTGGATGGGCCACATGTATTTCAATAATAAATGTCTGGGTTTTTCCCAAAGAGCGTGGCCGAGTGATGGGGTGGTGGTCAACAAACATGGCGGCAGGAGGCGTGATTGGAAATGCCTTTGCGGCCTTTCTGATTGGAAGGGGATTATCGTGGCGTACTGCTGTTGAGGCTGAAGTGGGGCTTCTTTTGGCAGTCGGTGGAGTGGTGTTGTTGGCACTTGTTGAGCACCCAAATGCGGTTGGTTTCCCCTCGGTGCAGCAGGTTGAAGGAGGTGTGGAATTTGCCAAGTTGTCGTTTGATTGCAATTCGGCCCCTCTGAGCAAAGACGGCGAAATGTATATGAATTCACCAAGATCAACGAACTCTTCGCTTGAGGAAAACATGAATTTTCGGCACAAAGACTATGATGACCATGAGGAACCCTTCTCCCCCACATTTTTGAATATTATTCAGCTCCCTGGTTTGTGTGGTATCTGTGCATCGTACTTTCTGTATCAACTTGTGCGCTACGGATTTATGTTTTGGCTCCCATATTTTGCTGTACACGAATTAAATTATACCACCGAGTTTGCGGGGTATGTGACGTGTGCCTTTGATGTTGGTGGGGTGGTAGGGATTGTGGCATCTGGGTACTTTTCTGACTGGATGTTCCATGGTGTTGGCAGAACGCGTGTCATTTTGCTCCTCACTGTAGGTATGGTGCTTGGGAGCTGTTGTCTTGCTGTCTTTTCTCGACATTTTGTGGAAAACGCTCTTTTTTTCATGGTGGCGGTCACCTTTGTTGGTTTTTTTGCCTTTGCTATTGATTCTTTGGTGTCGGGTTCTTTTTTGTTGGACCACCTGGAGCACATTAAGATGGTAAAGCAGGCGGGGGCAATTAGTGGTGTGGTGGGCGGTGTCGGATCGGCGGGGTCTACCTTTCAGGGAGTCTTCACCGCCGTGCTGATCTCAAGATCATGGCCAACACTGTTTTACGGCTTTGGCGTGGCAGGTGCATTGGCAGGCGTCTCTCTTATTCGTCCGCTCCGCAGTGAGCTGCTACGAGCGCGCAAAAGGTCCGTGGTGTTTTGATGTTTATTTTCCAAAGCGCACGGAAAAGTGGGCAAGTCATGTTTTTCTTTCTGTTCAAGTTGAATTGAATACCTTGGCCCGAAAGGAATGGTTTTCATATAAATGGTTATAGGTATGTGTTCCTTTTTGTGAATACTAATTCAATTTTTTTTCTTTTTTCTAATTTTCCTTACTTTTGTATTATTATTATTATTTTTTTTTTTTTCGTATACAGTCTCACAAATGCCTGTATATAAATATGTACTTGAGAAAGAAATTTCTTTTTTGATCAATTACCTTTTGTTGTTGTTGTTTTTGTTTTCCCCTTCCTCTTACGTACCATTTCCAATGAACAAGTGATAATAATAATAGTCACAAACGCAGCCTGTAGGCATTCAATAGGAAAGTGAAGAGTAAGTCTCTGTTATATGAGTTTTCCTCAGACAGAAAAGAACGGCATCACCAGTGAAAGTCCAGCTCGTGAATTCAACACAAATGAACACGGCGATTTGCTGAACTCCGCTGGGGAGCCATGGAGAGGAGGTCGATTTCAGGAAAGAGGACGGGGGAGGGGGCGCGGAAGGGGGCGCGGACGGTATGAAGGCGATGGCGAGTGGCGTCGCTCTGACAACGATCGCGAAAGAGGAAACGAGCGCTTTTCGTGGCGTCGTGGCAGCGGTGACGCTGGTGGTGGAGGTGATTACGAGGGTGAAGAAGGATATGGCGGTGGTTGGCCACGTGGCGGTCGCAGCGGGTACAATAACAATTATAATCGTCGCGGTGGTGGCGGCCGCGGCTCTCGTCAATATGGCCCCGGTGCACGGAAGGAGCAATGGTCAAACTGGCGACAGGGTGATCCCAAACGTGACGCTGGCGACGACTATTCGGAACCGCATCGCGGTGGTGGTGATAACTACGATGTGGAAGGGGGACGCGGAGGGCGTGGCCGTGGCCGTGGCGGTCGTTTTGCTGACGACGATCGCGAGCTCGAGGAGAGGGCCCAGAGAAGGTCGCAGGGAGCAACCGACGACACCGACCAGCAGGAACCCGCCCAACAGTCAGAGGGGCAGCAGCAGCAGCAGCCACCAGCGCAATACGGGCGGTTTGATGTTGATTCGTACGAGCGACCACGTGGTCGGGGACGCGATCGTCCCTACCGCGGCAGAGGCGGTTACTTCAGGGAAGTGGAGGAAGAGAGACAGCAGCAACCGCAACCGCAACCGCAGCCACAGGAACAACAGCAGCGGCCACGCGTCTCGGAGGATCCAATCTCGACTAACCCTAGTCGCACACAGCGTGCTCCACATTTGCGTAAGAATTGCCACGACGAAAGGGAAATAGAACAACTTTTTGAGCACCATCATCAACAAAAAGGTATTTCCCTGGATAACTATGCCAATATTCCGGTTGATATTATTCCCAATAATGTTGAACCTGTGGAAAGCTTTGAGGATCTTTACGTGGAGCCTGCACTTGCCTTGAACGTTGCCAAGTGCGGGTACAAACAACCAACACCGGTGCAGCGTTACGGCATTCCGGTCTGTCTCAACGGTGATGATTTAATGGCGTGTGCCCAGACGGGCTCTGGAAAGACGGCAGCCTTTTTGGTTCCCGTTGTTCACTACATCTTAAAACACGGCGTATCACCCGCTCGTGAACGCGTTAGTTATCCAATTGCCGTCATTATGGCTCCAACACGTGAATTGGCGTTACAAATTTACGATGAGGTTCGCAAATTGACATTCCGCACGGATATCTTCTATGATGTTGTCTACGGAGGAACACCGTACCCAACGCGGTTTGAAAACGACATTCTTGTTGCATGTCCCGGACGCCTAAAGGATATTTTTGACCGTGGTATTGTCTCCTTCAGCCGGGTAAAGTTTCTCGTCCTTGATGAGGCCGACCGCATGTTGGAGATGGGGTTTGAGGAGCAGATTGAATACCTTGTCGCCTCGCGGTACACGGATATGCCGCAGACCACGGAACGACAAACGCTTATGTTCAGCGCCACCTTTCCTCAGCGGATTTTGAACCTCGCGAAACGTTATCTTCGTCAGCATTACTACCTCCTCACGGTTGGCCGCGTTGGATCGACAACGAAGAATATCACGCAGAAGATTGTGCGTGTGCAGGAGTCTGAAAAGATGGACAAACTGTTTGAGGTTATTTACCAGCAGAAACAGACGGATCTTGTGCTAATTTTTGTGGAAACCAAGCGTGCCGCAGAGGAACTTCACTATGCCCTTAAGAGTGAGGGCATTCCGAGCGCCACCATCCATGGGGACCGCAGACAATTTGACCGTGAACGTGCGTTGCGTGATTTCAAGGATGGCATTACGCCGATTTTGGTCGCTACAGATGTTGCCTCGCGTGGTCTGGATGTCCCTAATGTGGCACACGTCATTCAATATGATCTTCCAAAGGAGATGGACGATTATACACACCGCATTGGACGTACTGGACGTGCTGGAAACAAGGGCACAGCCACCTCCTTTTACAATAAGAACAACCGAAACCTTACCGTGGACCTGTACAACTACCTGAAGGAGCACGAGCAGGATATCCCCTTATGGTTTGAGGAGGAGAAGGAAAACGTCGAGGGAGAACGGTTTCTAGGCATGAGCCGCGGTCGCGGTGGCGGTGGTATTGGTGGAAGGCGTGGTGGCGGTGGCGGTGGCGACAATTACCGCGCGGCTCCGACGCTCTCCAACTCCACATGGGGCGAGTCTGCACCATCGCGCGGCCGTGCAAGGGGTGTCGGTCGGCCTCAGAACAACTCTAACGTGGACGATGGGGGTTTTTGAGCGCCAAAGAGACACACACACGTAAGAAATGAAAGAGAAAGAGAAAGAGAAAAGAAAGAAAGAAAGAGATGAGGCAAAATGGGGGGCGGCGAATATTTGGCTCCTGAAAGCATCATTAATTTATTAGATAAAAAGTAATTATACATGAAATTTTGTCTCCCTTTTTCTTTTTTTCTTTTCTCCCTTATCCACTACCTGTCTGTCTGTGTGTGTGTGTGTTACGTTCTACGAAAATTGCAACGGAACCGGCAAACAGAAGTAGTAAAAATAAATGATGGCCTAGAAGGGACATGAACGGGAAAACTGCATATCCAATATATATATCTTTAAGGAGAAAAGGAAGTGAAAAAAAAAAAAAAATAGATAAGCGAGAGAAGATAATAATAAAAAAAAAGAAAAGGAAAAAAATTATAAAAAGTAAATTTAAAAAAAAAAAAGGAAATAATTCGCATCATACAAGCATATCAGGATATGTATATATACGTATGCATATGTATATATATGTGTATATGCGGTGGTGGTGACCTCTGCAATGGTTTTTTTTCTTTGCTCTTTTGTGGTTCTGGTGTGCTGAATAATGGAAGTAGAGGAGCGCGAGGTGGGACGAGGAGGAGAAAAGGAAAATATTTTTTTTTATTTTTTTTGCTTGTGTGTCTGTGTGTGTGTCTTTGCGAGTTTTGCCTGTTTGTTTCTTTTATTCGGTCCTTGCCGCTACGCCATACGCACACACACACACACACAAATGAAGGCACTGAGAGTAACGCCAGATGTGTGCAGGAGCCTGCTAGAGACGCCATTGACGGGTTTCGGCCGGAACCAACCAGCAGCAGCGGCAGAAAAAATAAAATTGCGTGGGGAACACGTCCCCCACACCACGCCACCCCGTTGGTTCATGCGTTCTCAGTGGGGAGGAGAAGAGGACGCACGCAAAAGAGAGAAAAGGAAGAGGGAGGACAGAGTCAACAGCATTGCCGTGGCGTCCAAACACTCTCTCTTTCCCTTTCTTGCTTTGCCCGGTTTGCCCCTCTTTCCCTTACGACCATTCCCTGCAGGTGTGAGAGCGTTAACGCTGGGCGGACACTGAGATTAAACTTCTTAAAGCAAAAAAGAGCAGTGAGGCATTAATCGTGTATTGTCTCTCTTTGTTCATTCCTCCTTCGATTGACAATGTGAATGGGGGAGTTGTGTGGTGGGGGGAAAGAAAATGGAGGTACTGTGCACATTAGGGAGCTGCGGTTTTACACAGCGGATGTAACGATTTCTTCGGAATAAGAGTGAATGGATACAGAAGGAGTGGAATGCGGGAAAAGGAAAAAAGGGAAAAAATAAAAATAAAAAAACAGCTTTCTTTTTAGAGATTTAGCGGAAATAAGCACAGCCACCAGGGCAAACAGCAACCACCATTACAAAGTAATCTCTAATGAGAAACAAAAGCACATGCATACGCAATAAAACCAAACGAAAAGAAACCAGAGAGAGGAAAGAATATTTATATTTATATTTATTTATATATTTATTTATTTATTTAAAAATGATCAGGGAGTCTGAGGCATTTGGTGTGAGAGACCTGTTTGGGATATAAGGAGGAGCGGGGGCGAGGTTATCTGCGTGGGTATGCATTTGTTTGACTTGCTATTGATGCTGTTGTTTTTGTTTTTTTCTCAACGATGCCTGATGTATACTCCTATTATTATTATTATTTTTTTTTTTTTTTCAGGGGAAATGTACTGTCGCGTTATGATTCTGCGCATGGCGGCATCGTCATCGTCTTCTACTGATGCGAGCAGTAAATATACCCGGTCCAAGTCACCGTACGAAGTGCTCGGCGTGACGGCAAGCGTGTCATTCGATGAGATCAAGGCTCGTTATCATGAGCTCACGCGCTACTACCATCCGGACATGCCGCACGGAGACCCGGCGAGGTTTCGCGAGATCAACGCCGCCTACCGCGTGTTGCGCGCCGCGGAGCGAGAAAAAAAGTCTGAAAAGATTGACCCTGGGTCGTTCCGGGCGGAGCGCAGTCACAAGAATGGCGACTATCAGACTGATGGCCATGCACGATATCAGGATTGCCGGTACGGTCCCGCTGAGAGGCCACAGCGTCACGGTTTGCTGCGGGAGATATTTTGGCTTTACGAATGCTACGAGTTGGCAATTGTGGTTGGCGCGGCAGTGGCCGTCCTTATCATTGCCACGGAAAGATATCTGCTTGTGCGGCGCATGACACTTGAGAAGCGTGCGCGGATACGGGCCATGGACGAGGGACTGCCACCAAGTATGCCGCTGGTTTTGGAAGACGGAATGCTTCAGAAGTACAACGTGCGGGTGCCGAAGGAAGAAATTGAAATTGACAACGCCATGGTGAAGGAGGAGGCGTATCACCGGCGTGCCACCCAGCGTCGCTTCGAAGACTTCCGTGAGTTTCTTTTTGTGTATGACCCTGATGGGGTGACCTCTCGCAGGGTCACAACCAAGCGCTTCAGCATTCAGTATATTGACGAGGCCCTCATCCCAGCTCGATGCTCGCACGTCTGGGAGTTCAACTCGGAGATGAAAAATAAGCAGTATGACAGCATCGTGAGCGGGGTTGTAGAAGCCCTTGCCGCGACCTCTTGGGCAACACCCGACGTCCAATACATCGCTCCTCTTATGGCGAGGGGGCTTGCAACGATTCCCATGAATTCCCCTGAAACGGCCAAGTGGACTTTTGTCGAGTACAAAGACATCGACAAAAAAGGAGAGCCCGCTTGTGTGTTGGCACTCAAGAACAATCGCTTTGGACGCCTTGGCATGTGTCAACGTGTGACCGTCACAGGAAGTAACAGTCTCAGCCCACGGTTGGTTATAAAGCAGGAGGCGGATCTGAAAAGTGGAACACTTAGTGCAAAAAGCCTAGTGCGCGGAGGAGCGTTGCCTGTGAAGGATCTGTCAATCCCACTTGAACAAATGAAATTATAGATTTGTTTGATGCGCATCCCAACTTGATATTTTTGTACCCGAAGATTCACAAATGCCCTTTTATTTTTGGAATGCCTTGTTGCAGTCACTGTGTGCCGCATCAGCATAGCGGACTTCAGTGGAGGAATGACGAAAGAAAGTAATAGAGCCAAAGAAGAAGGAAGAATGAACACGGTCGAACGATTGCAATGTGTGTTCTGCCATTTTTATTGAGATCCTTCTCATGGGTTGAATTATGTAAAAGAAAGGGTGGGGAGACATGCAGTGAAGCGAGAAGAAGAAGCGGCGTATACAGAGGAGTCGTCTTACGCTCCTTTTTTCCCCCACAATTGTCTTACTTCAGTTTCCCCCGCCCTTGTTTTTGTTTTTGTTTTTGTTTTTGTTTCGTTCAAAAGCTTGGCAGGGAAATGTGCGAGCCGATGGAGCTCAGTGAAGGATGGAGTCTCCTGTTTACCCAGCACGTTTACTTAACAATTCATATTTGTTTTTAACGCAGCGTCGTTAGAAGGTGGTGAGTATACTTCGTGTTGTTGTTGTTGTTTTGCCCGTCCTTTACTACTCTCCACAACGCGGCGGGGTCCGGGGGTTGAAAGGCTCTTAAAAAATGGCAGCCTTTTAGTTCACGGCGAGGTCATTTACCATTTGTACGTTCGTTGATTTTCCGTGTTTTTACGGGTGTACGGTTGCTGGACCAACTGCCTCCTACGGAAGGAAGGGATCTCATGTGCACCGAACCGAACTGGAATTTTTCATTATATCTTTTTTTCGTTTTTTCTCCTGCTCTGGGGAATATATGGCAAGGCATCATTTAGTCGAAAATTTATTTTTGCACCCATCAACAGGTCTGTTGCTGCATGACGGAAATCGCATGCAGACGCACAGCGCCAGTGAGTATGAGGTCGAAGTGTACCCCGCGTGCCCACCAATGGCGTATCGGGGAATGGAACCGACCGAGAGCACGTGGTGTTGGGGAGCATGGTGGGCACTCGTGATGATACTGACCCTGCTCCGCTGCTGATGCTGTGACCGTGATACGAGACTCTTCAGGGCTTCTGAGGTGCACTTTTGCCGTGCTTCCCTGCTTCCTCCTCAACGCAGAGCTCCCCTCGCACACGCCAGGCCCTCCAGCTACCACGTGAAGCGTATACTCTCAGTCTTTGCGGAGGTCGTTCTACTGGGCCAAGAGGCGCGATTCTGTCGCGACAGCGGTGCCGTGGGAAGCACGAAAACAACAGCAACAACAAAAACTTGGAAAAACGTGATGATCCATGCTAGCACCAAATCGACACTGAGTCGGAAAGCACTTTATGACGCATTTGTGACAGACCATGGAAAGGCCGGGCAAAAGTTCACCGGGCACTGATTACACACACACGCTCTCTCTCTCTTTGCCCTTACTCTCCATTCACTGTGCCGTGACACTATGATTCAATCCATGATGCGTCAGGACACACAGCGTGCGTGACTGCTGGATTTACACGCAATGCCGTAAGCAGTATGACACCACACCCTTCTCTCCTCTCCTCAATCCCCTTTCTCCCTTCTCCTTCGATGCATGACGGAAATCGCATGCAGACGCACAGCGCCAGTGAGTATGAGGTCGAAGTGTACCCCGCGTGCCCACCAATGGCGTATCGGGGAATGGAACCGACCGAGAGCACGTGGTGTTGGGGAGCATGGTGGGCACTCGTGATGATACTGACCCTGCTCCGCTGCTGATGCTGTGACCGTGATACGAGACTCTTCAGGGCTTCTGAGGTGCACTTTTGCTGTGTTTCCTCTTCTTTCTTCTTGTGTGTGTCTTATATGTTAAGCCCCATTCGCTTCCTTTCAATGGTTTTTTGTTGCCTGGGAGGTTAGTATTATGAGGCGAGAATCGTTTTTTTTTTTTTTTTTGCTTTTGTGTGTGTGATTGTATAAAACGGTGGTGGCACTTTTATTATTATTACTGTTTTGTCGGATTTATTGTTGTAGTTGTTGTTCTTATAGTTTTGTTTATCTTGAATTTTTTAAGGGAAGCAGTCACTTCCTTGTTTTTATGGGTGCCATGAAATATGTAGGTGCCCTTGATCAGGGTACGATAAGTACACGATTTATTATATTTGATGAAAAGCAGTGTTTGGTTGCGCAGCATCAGATACCACACAGGCAGTTGACGCCGCAGGCTGGCTGGCTTGAACATGACCCAATGGAACTGTATCGCGCGAGCGTTGCCTGCATTGTTGCCGCGGTTGAAGATTTACGGCGGAGAGTTCCATCTTTTGAGAAACTTGAGGCCATAGGCATTGCGAATCAGCGTGAGACGACGGTGGCATGGGATCGTGTGACAAAGGAGCCGTTGTATAACGCGATTGTATGGAATGACTTGCGCTCGTACGAAGTGACTGCAAATGTGAAAAAGGAGTTGGGTGGTGGTGATGATTTGTTTTTTGCCAAAATGAATGGTTTGCGGATAAGCACATATTTTTCCGCATTTAAGATGCGCTGGATGCTTGAAAACGTCCCAAAGGTAGAGGAGGCGCGTAAACGTGGTACTCTCTGCTTTGGAACCATTGATGCATGGTTGCTCTGGAAATTAAGTGGTGGTAAGGTGTTTATTACGGATGTTACGAACGCCTCACGTACGTTTTTGATGGATATACGAACATGCAAATGGTCCCCTGAGCTTTGTGACAAACTTGGCATCCCCATGGCGTGCCTGCCTGAAATCCGGAGTAACAGCGAACTGTTGACTTATGCGCTCAGCGACGAGGGAGGTTTATCCACGGCTCTGCGGCACCCAACACCAATCATGGGGAGCATTGCTGATCAGCAGGGTGCACTCCTTGGAAACATGTGTTTTGAAGAAGGAGAATCAAAGAATACGTATGGTACTGGCTGCTTTCTTCTAATGACGGTGGGGGAAAGGATCCGTTTTTCAGGCCATGGTCTTCTCTCCACTGTTGCCTATCAGCTTGGCAGCAAATCCCCGTTCATCTATGCCCTTGAAGGCTCCATTGCCGGAGCTGGCGCAACAATTGAATGGTTGAAAAATAACATGAAGCTCATTGACGATGTCTCGGACTGTGAAAAGTTTGCCCAAACCGTCTCTGATACGCAAGGTGTCGTGTTTGTGCCTGCGTTTTCCGGTTTTTTGGCACCCAGTTGGGATCCTTCCGCCCGTGGATCCATTTTTGGGATGACATTGAAGACGACCCGTGCCCACGTTCTTCGCGCTGCTCTGTTGGCCATTGCCCTTCAAGTCGTTGATGTTTTGGAAGCGATGGAGAGGGACGCGGAAATTAAAGTCCAGTTTCTCCGCGTTGATGGAGGGCTAACCAAAAATCATCTGCTAATGAAGATGCAGTCAGACCTGTTGGGAATCAATCTTCATCGGCCGACTATGGCTGAAACTACCGCACTCGGTGCCGCGTTATGCGCTGGCCTGGCGGCAGGCGTCTGGAAGTCTCTGGAAGAAGTAAAAACAATATCGCAACAAGCGAATGTTTGGCGTGTGATCAGACCTGCTGCATCCAAGGATTCTCAACAGATGCTAAGGGCGCAGTGGAAACGAGCAAAGCAACAGGCGAAGTGGGCCAAGCTTTAACCGAGCTACTCACTAACGTGGGATTTGCATTTAAATCTTTTCTGACGATGTTATTGAGTTTTTTTTTTACTTTTTACTTTTTAAAAAGCTTATGCCAAGAAAAGGGTTTAACAGGATTTTGTGGGAAATTTGTGATGCGGTTTTTTGTTATATATATATATATATATATAGGGAGAGCCTGAAACATCAAAAACACAGCCATGCATATTTATGTACGGCTGTCGCTATGGAGCGTGACGTCTTTTTGTAAATTTTTTCTATGGGTACTTTTCCTTTCTTTGTATTTAATACGCTCTTTGAAAACGGTTTATTTACGAATATGACTTAGGACGCATGGTCACTGCTCTTTTTGTTTGTTTGTGTGTGTGTGTGTGTGTGTGTGTGTGTGTGTGTGTGTGTGTGTGTGTGTGTGTGTGTGTGTGTGTGTGTGTGTGTGTGTGTGTGTGTGTTTTGAATAGATCAACCAAAAGTGATCTTTTCTGCGCGTGCGGTTCACGTGTATACTTTCCTAGAAAAAGTCTTATTTTTTTGCTGCGCTTGTTTTTCAGTGCCTTTTTCTTTTTTTTTTTTCCGTGTGTGTGGTTTTGAGGAAATTTCAAACGCACTGCTTTTGGCACTTCTGTCGTCTTTAGCATTTCTCTTGCGCAGCGAGCAGCAGAAGGGGCGGTGGTGGGGAACAATCTTGGAGGAAAGAGACTTATTGGGCCTACAGCGAAGGGGACATGACGGGTGAAAGGAGGGCGAAGCAACGGAGATTGGAGAAGTCTGCAGCTGATGGCCTTCGTGAGCAGATGCGCTCCTCCTGGCCACGCGTTTTAACGGTCGAAGATGACGGAACGGGGGAAAACCATGTCAAGCTGTGTGTTGAGCATGACGCGCCGCACGACCACTGTGCTCTGGAATGCTGGAATTTGCAAGGCCTAATCGGCGAAAATGAACGTTTTGGGTTGTTTGTCTCGTTCTTCCGTCATGCAGTGACGGGTGAAGAGGAGCTCTCGGACGGGGAGGGCTCCGTTACATATGCCGCAGAGGTTTCTTGGGTAATTGTGGACCATGAGAAGAAGAAATATTATCGCTTTAGCGAGCTGGACCATCGGGCCCCAATAATGGCGGCGTATCTTGCGGCCGACGGGGGAATTACGGGGGATGAGTACTTTCTTCAGGCTCTGTCGGAGCAGTTTAGCCAAAACCGGCTGCCGTTGCCAGATCGAGTGATGAAAGGAACAACATCGTTGCATACGGATATGCTTGACCTGCAGTACGGGGATAATCGACTGACAGTGATCCCGAAAAAAACGGGGAAAAAAAACACCTCCTTCTCGTGGTACAAACTTTCTCTCAGTGGCACAACCTTTGAAACTGGGGATGCGGATCCGCAAAGGGAGGTGCGAGTGGTTGTCGAACTTACACTGAAACCGACGCAACCGGCAGTGTTGCATGGAAATAAGGGTGTGGTGGGGCTCAAGGATGACTGGGGCCATGATATGTTTCACTATTTGATTCCCCACTGCATGGTAGTGGAGGGCACCTTTCGTATGATGCGCGCCTCTGATGACTTGGAAATTGCCCGCTGTCCCGATCTAAAGGGCGCCAAAATTTGGATGTCGCACTCTTTTGGCTGCGCCGTGCCCCGAAATATTGGCGAGTCCAATTATTTGCGGAAACAATGCCAACAGTGTGGGTATTTGCCTCATTTCTGGAACTGTTGCGTTATTCACCTAGACAATGAAACGGCGGATGCCATCGGCGTTGTTTACGCGTTGGATCCTGCGCATTGGAAGCCTGTGGATATCTACGTGACGCTGCAGTCTGGCACTACAGGGAAGATTGAGCATCAACATGAAGGTGTCGAACTTGTCGCGAAGAGTACTTCACAGCACCGAAGCGATGCAACGGGTATTCTCTTCACCACGCAGTGGACGTTGATTACACCATTCCGTGACGATGCTAAACTGGAGGTGTTACTCGATGCCACTTTTCCCGATCAGGAATTTACAACCCTTTTTGCCCAGCCAAGCGTTTGGTTGGGCGCAGTGCAGGTTTCAGGAAAGATAGTTGCCTCGGATGGCACCTCGACTGGTGTTACAGGCAAGGGCTTCTTGCAATGTTGTGGAAAGGACGGCTTGAACAACGTAAAGAAAATGCATGACATGTTGCGGGAAGTGAGTACAGCCAGAATGGAAGACTTGGAAGTGGGAGTAAAGGATTCTTTAAATGAAATGGTAAACAGTTTTGCAGCGTCTGCCACAAGCAACGTCAAGACATTAATGAGTCTTCAAGGGCAAACGTTGTCTGATGCCCATCTTGTGTTGTTCACCAGTTTTCTTGGCGTGTACGGCTATATTTTTCACCATCCTACGGGGAAGAAAGAGGCTCTTGAAGCAATTCAATGGTGTCATGGGAAGTGGCTTGGTTATTTTGGAAACGCCTACATTGATGTCAAGACTCTGATGTTGCGGTCTTTTATGTTGCGAGAGCTCTCGTATGTGTTGAAAAGCCGTTGTGCCTCGTGGATTCCGACGCATATGCAAGTTATTGATCCTGTGGTAGCCCCACCAAGCAACATAAACGCAGTGATGGGGAAAGACAACTGTAGTGAAGAAGAGGTTGTCCCCTCCTTGCCGCATTTTGGTACGAGCCCCAGCAAGTTGGATCTTTCACAACTTAGAGCTAATTTTAGTGGGAAATGGACGTTGGACTCAACGAGAGGCACAGATAACATCAGTGCCTTTTTATCAGCGCAAGGCGTTCACGTCTTGTGGCGCAACCTTATTGCCAATACGTCATTGAACTTGTTTGTTACTGTTGATGAGGAGAAACAAACGATGCGATTTAATCATCGGAGATCGTTTTGGGGGAGGGAATTCGTCATTCAGTTGGATGGATCATACGGGGAGCAGCGCTGTGCGTCTCGAGGAACGATCCGCTCGCGGGCTTGCGTTTTTCCCGGCGGCACAGGGGTTTGCATTGAGAAGAAAATATCGAATCAAATGATCGAGCGCGATTGGTACACGTTTGAGGACGGTGGGGAGACGATGGTGGAGGTGATGCGACTTTATTCGGACAAGGCAGCAGAGAACAAAAAGGATAGTCCTTCTGTTTTACCGATTTCGGTTTGTGTCCGGTACTTTACTTTGTGCCTCGAGAGGTCCGTGAGCTGAATTGTCGCCTTTCCTTATTCCGTAGTGAGGGAGAGAACGGGTCGAACGTTCACTCTTTAGTGATAGAAGAGGGGAACCAAAAACTTCTTTGATGTTGTCGTTGTTGTTGTTGTTTTTGTTTGTGTGTGTGTTTGTGGTCCTTCCCTCTTTTTTGTTGTCTTCGTTGTTTTGTTTTCTTTTTTTTTCTTTTTTGGCTTTTTAAAATCCCATTGCATCTCTGTAAAGCTTGCAACAAGTTATGCGAAAGCACACGCGAAATCACGAATCTGACCATTACGCACTCTATTCAAAGAATAAAAAGTTCTATAGAACCGACACATCACAAGGTTTCAATTGCAACAAGAATAAAGTCGATACAGCTTTTGTGAACGCAGAAACAGAAGCCGCAGAGATGTCCGTGGTAGAAGCCATCGCCGCACCCGCTGCCTCCGCCATTGACTCCAGATTTTTGGACAAGCAAAGCCGCACAATTGGCACCTACGGCCTGGAGACAATGGTGAAGCTTATTTCCTTCAAGGTGCTCATCGTCGGCTGCGGTGGGGTTGGAATTGAGGCGGCGAAAAACCTTTCCATGGCTGGCGTTCACACAATTATTCTTTGTGACCCTGCGAAAGCTCAACCAAAGGATATGGGCGTTAACTTTGCTGTCACGGAGGCGGCGGTGCGTTCTGGTCTTACTCGAGCCGAGGCGTCGCAGCGGCTGGTATCCGAATTGAACCCAAACGTTCGTGTGCGGGTCGTGGACGCCCTCAGCGAGGCGGTGGTCAGTCAAGTCAATGCCCTTGTCTTCACCTCTGCGGCCCCGGATTATTCCCTGGGGACTCTTAAGAGATGGAATAAATTTTGTCACGACCACCCGTCGCCCATTTCCTTTATTTTTGCCTTTCAGGGCGGCGCGCTCGGGTCCGTCTTTGCCGATCACGGTGCTCACTTCACCGTAAAAGATCCAGATGGTCGCCCCATGCTTCAGAAATCTATTGTGGAGGTAATTACAAAGCAGGACAAAACTGGCACGGCCTACACACGTATCCGCTATGAGACGCCAGAGGGTCAAACGCCTGGTGCGCTCCGTGACTACACAAGGTTTAAGTTCACGGAGGTGAGGGGACTGTGTAAGGCAAATGGAGAAAGTGTGAATGAGAACATCTTCAACGGCGTAATGTGCCCCAACGACCCCCGCGACACAGTGCGCATCTACCCTTCGCTCGAGAGCCAAGGCTACTCCGCATATGAAACAGGTGGATTCCTTCATGAATTGAAAGAAGTATTCCAACTTGAGTTTCGAACTTTGGAGGAGGCCGTTGTATCTCCTGGTCGTTTTGTTCCTGTGAGTCCCATGATGGATGGATCAGAGGAATCACAGTCCCATCTCGCTCTGCATGCGTTACTCAATTTTTTGGATAGGCACGGGAGGCCTCCAAAGCTACATGATGTAAGTGAAGCAGAAGAGGCCTTGTCTATTGCAAAGGAAATTAACATTGAGAACAAAAGAAGGTCAAAAGCCAATACCGAAACGTACCAA